TGTATTTTCTGTTAATGTATATACTTAATTTAAAATTAATTATTCATCTAGTGGCCCTTTGTGACCTGAAAAATACTAGTTGTCCCTCACCATACTCAGTTTTTACAAGTAGGTGCTACAAATTAAAGTTAGTTCATCTTATTTATTACAGAGGGAATTAAGGAAAGTATTTGGAATAAATTCTGTGTGCCTTCTTTCCAGCAGATCTTTTTTTTTTTTTCATATCTTTCTTTCTGTTTCTTTTTCTCCAAGTTACAAGTTGCATGTTTTGATTCTCCTAACAAGAGGTGAATGATTGTGCTTTTTCATCAAATGGGCATGGGAAGCTGAGAGATACAATCTGGTTTTCCCCCTCAGATGTTAAGATTTAGGTTCAGGGAACGCTTTTCTGGGCGACTTTCCTGTATCTGTTATTCTGTTATTCTGAGAGAGAAAGAGAGAGAGAGAAAGAGAGAGAGAGAAAGAGAGAGAGAGAGAGACTATGTCTAAACCAAACCCAAATTAGCACAAGACATACTACATGAGTGGAGAGTCAAGAGAAACATGAAAAATCATTTTCAATAAGTAGAAATTTGCATTTCATCTATAATAAAATATGTAGATTTTATATTTCTAAAAATTGGAAATGCATTCCAATCATTTCTTATGAGTCCCAAAGAATAATTCATCAGTAAGCTGCTAAAAATCGTTTCTTATTGGGAACAGTTACCATACTCCATTGGAACTGTGACATCATCAGAAATCTGTGTAAGGTTTTTTCCCCCCAGAGTTCTGTTGCTGATGCCAACCATTTCTTGACACATTATACAGGCATTCAATTATTGATTGGGTTATTCTTTTCTTGTTCATTATAGGATACCACTAGCTTTAATTTCATTATCCTTTCAAGAACCTCTATGTTGATTAGCTACCTTTGATATTTAAATATCAGAAATTTGAGTGTCATTCAGGAATGTTTGATTTTCAATTCATCCTTTTGATTTTTTTGATTGGTGTAAAAAATACAGATATTTTAGTATGGAAGATATAGAACCAGTGGTAAGAAACACGTGTTATTTGATATAGAGTTTTTGAATAAGAATGAATTGATAGTATCTACTCTTGATTATTTCTGATATAATTTTTTAAAAATTCTAATCCATTTTTATTAGCATTTGAAAACTAAATGCTGTAGTCAGAAGGTTAAATAAAGTATGATTTTTACATCATAAAGATAGAAAAATCAAATTATTATTTGTGGAAGTTGCTGTCTTTCCTTTTTCAAATTCTTGTATTTACCTTTTTGAAAATAGAAGAGTAGCTGTGGATGTTTTCAAATTTAACAACTGTCCTCTGACGATTCTGCTGTTAATTCTTGAGAGCTAGTCAAAGAAAGAAATTGGAAGCAATGTAGAAACTGACTACTTTACTAGAAGTGCACACTGACTCATACCCCCTTACAGATTGATGATTAAATGCAGCTCAGGCTACAATCCATAAAAATTGTGTGTGGGCTTGCTTTTTGTTTCTGCTAGTATTTTGTGGTGGAAGTTGGCCGGGAAATGGAAAGGGATGTAAAACAAGTCACTTTTAGAACCAAAAATTACATGGATTCCACCAAAATGGAATCCATTGGGGCATATATAACAGTAATCTACATAATATCCACTTGTGTTTGTCATTTGTGTTTCACAATGTTTCTATAAAGCAAAATTTATCTAGGGAGATATTGTAGATAACAATAAAAACAGTAAGTTCAATGGAACTGTATATCATGGTATACAGATATAGGAAATGAACTAAATGAACTAGAAGATTAGTATTTTCTTTGGGGTTTAGCACTACTGTACAGCTCTTCTTTAGTTTTGGGTAATAGCATGAAAGCAGAAGACAAACAATAAGGATTTTATAAAAATTTGAGCAGAGATAAACAACCTTGTGGCTATCAAAAAGTACATACCTTCAGGATAATTTGAGGAGATACTGAACTAAACAATGGCAAAGGGCAGAAAATAAAGTGAATTGGGACATCTATTCTTCCCAGCCACCCTTTTTGTATTCTTTCTGAAATTTTATTTGTCTCCCTCATTGTCTTTCTGACCCATCTCTCTTTCTCTCTCTCAAGCAGGGCATTGCAGGGAAGGGACAGCTGTCTCCTTTTGGAAGCTTTTAATTAGGTCAATGACTCAACTTTGAATCAGTTTTTTACTCCTAAGAATTACCTGGACAAGTCCTTGCAATTTTCTTGACAACATTTTCAGCAGTAGTTGTCATTTCTTTCTAGAGCTAAGAGGAAGTCACTACTCAAAGTCATCCAGCTGACTTCCAAACCTAAGTCAAGATTAGAATTTAGTTCCTCATTCATAGCCCAGCACCTTAACTATTAGACCAAACTGGATTTCTCAGCAGGCAATTACAGTACATCATTTATATTGTGGAATAAACAAATTGCTGTTTTCTCTGGCAGTCTTGTGACATTCTTTTGCATATTAGGTCAGCATGGTAGCTATTGTATATTATTTTTGAGATATGGCTAGTAAATATGAACATTGTGGTTTACTGGGTCATTGGTTTCTGTCTGATTCTCCTTTCTGCCAACATACAGTATCACTTCAGCTTGCTATGAATGTTTTCTCACAAAGGTAGTTTAGGTAGTTCACATGGGGGAGCATCTTATACGGTTGAATTATATATATTGCCTAGTATGGGTATGGCTGCATACATACATACATACATACATACATACATACATACATACATACATACACAGCACAATAAAAATTTAAGACTTAAGAGGGGTGCATTTTTTTTTTATTAAAGCTGCACAATATTTATGTACTCTCTTGCATATACTCTTTTAAAAATAATAGGTATACTTTGAATGATCTCTGATATAAAAAGGGTTGAATTGTTCAATTGCACATTAATTCAAGTTGACTTTAAAATGTTACATGAATATATATTCAAAATTTTGGGCTTCTTTTGTTTTCTTGCCCCAAACCTTCACTTTTAATGTATATTGACAAGCTATTGCAATGGATATATTTTTGTCAGATTAATAAGGGTTTTATCGTTAACGATTATTTTATTTTGTGTAAAAGATGTGCTTTTGTATGCTGCCAAGGCTTTTATCATTTGAAATAAAAATGGCATCTACTCCTAAATGTTCACTCCATCATTTTGCTATGAATATATACAGTGAATATTTCCATAGCTGGATATTATCTTGGTCTCCCATTGTTGGCACTTGGCACAGTTTCTCTTTTCCAATGTTGTACCAGATTAATTCTTGGCACTGTCAGCATATATCTTAATAAATTATGGAGCTTTTTGTTTACATTCTCTGTGATTATACCTAATAAAAACATGTGTAGTTCTAATTTGAATCTTATTTTCAGAATTTTTTGTATGTTTTGTATGTTTCTTTGGGTCAATGTTCCTTTATTGTGGTATTTCTAATATTTATTGTGATGTGATTTGTTTATCTTGGCAGTCATGGACAGTTATAGCATGTGTAGAGTATTTTGAATCAATTTTCTTCCAAATTGTAGCTTGGTATAAATTGTATTGATTTTTTCCCCATTGTCCCATTTTTATTATTTTGTCAAAATTTTGCATGCATTTTATCATGCAATTTTTAATTTGTCCACTCCATATCATATTTTTAAATATCAATTATAAATAAATCCTACTAAATTGTCAATTCTGCTTTTAATTATGAAATACATATTGATAGATAAACGCAACAATAAATATATTTTTCATGATTATGGTAATACCACGTTTCTCCAACAATACGCCCCCCCCCATAGGAAGACCCAGCATGTTTTCTAGGTATAAAATGAAATTAAGCCTCTCCCCCCAAATTTAGGCGTAGTTTAAAACATGCAAAATTGGGGGGGAAGGCGGGGGGAACTTGCCATGAGGAGTGCCTTGCAGGCAGCTACGCCTCACCATCAGCCGCTCCTAACAGCCAATCATGGTGGAGCACGGAGGGCTCCCTTACCCGGGTCAGCAGGCGGGAGGTGGCGTGGATGTCCGGCAGCATTTCAGCCACTTCTCAGGCCTCCGTAGCTTCCACCGGTGCTGGCGCCTCTCTCACCAGTGCCGTCTTCCAACAACAGCATCTGAGTCACTCCCGCTTTTCCCTCATCCCCATAACAACAGGGAAAAAAAACATTTTGAGGTACCTAGGAGCGCTGCACGCTGCGTTTTGGTTTAATCACGAGCGGCTGGGTGGGTGTGAGAAGAGCCGAGTGAGTGTCTCTGCTGCTGCTACCCTTGGTGCTCCAGCCTCGGGCTCTGCAAGTTTGCAAAAGTCCCAGTGCACAGCCCGTTCCTGCATTCCAAGCACCCAGGCCGAGCTTCAGCTGTCCCTCTCTCACCAGCGCCGTCTCCAACAACAGCGGCAGCAGCGGCGGGAAACATGGAAGCATTTCATCTGCCTCTCGGATGGGGGAGCTGCCTCCGTAACTTCCACGGTTCCTGCCGCTGCTGCCGCTGTTATTGGAGACGGCGCTGGCAAGAGAGGGACAGCTGCAGCTCGGCCTGAGCGCTTGGAATGCAGGAACGGGCTGCGCACCGGGACTTTTGCAAACTTGCAGAGCCTGAGGCTAGAGCATCAAGGGTAGCAGCAGCAGAGACGCTCGCTCGGCTTTTCTCACGCCCACCCAGCCACTCAGGATTAAACCAAAACGCAGCGTGTGGCGCTCCCAGGTACCTCAAAATCTTTTTTTTCCTGTTGTTACGGGGACGGGAAAAGCGGGAGTGACTCAGATGCTGTTGTTGGAGACGGTGCTGGTCCGTTTGGGGGGGGGGAGAAATTAATTCACCCCCGAAAAGATGTCCTAGCCGTTTTTTTCGGGGCTCAAAAAAAAATAAGGCCTGGCCTTATTTTGTGAGAAACACTGTAGTTTTCTCTTAGCTACAATGAATTTCTGGTACTTAGGTGGCTTATAAATTTTGGTAATAATTCCTTTGAACTCAGATAATTACAGTTTGCACTTTTTTTTTTTAAATAGGCTTTCTCAAGCCAGGTTTATAGCTGGTAGAATGAAAAAGTTTAAGAGAAGACTTTCTTTAACACTGCGTGGGAGTCAGACTATTGATGAGTCACTTTCTGAACTGGCTGAACAAATGACAATTGAAGAGAACAGCAACAAAGATAACGGTAAGTACATGCACCATGTTTATTATTTTTGTAAAGTACTATACTAAGGGGAAATGAACATGCTATTATTGATAATAATCACCTTAACAAGATGAATTATGAGTTTGGAATTAGTGTAGCCATTCATTTTAATTTGGGTAACTATATTTGCTTTTCATAAAATATTCTAATGTGTTTTGTTTAGTTTATTATTATTGAAGAACATATTTTAATTGAATGCTACCAAATTGAAGTTATGATTGAATTGCAAAAATCCTGCATCATTCCATTCCTATTAGCATCATTGCTACATCCCTATTTTTGCAGCCCAGCAGATATATTCCATTTCACATTGCATTTTATTTTCAGTGTTTTGCAGCTATTTGAAATTTCAGTTATGGAGCAGTTTTGTTTAAAAGTGAGAGCTATGTTTGCAATCTGCTGGATGTTTAGTATTGCTGAATAAAATGGTGACTAGTCCAAAGTTGATATTTATGTACTTTAACAGATAAAATTGTATGGGTTGAAAAGTATATTCCATCTAGTAAAATAATACAGATCTATAACAAGGTCAAAATACTTAAGATGTTTAGAATTTCTTTTCTAAAATAAAGATTCTGGACTAAACATATATTATGGGTAATGCAAAGAAGTTCTGCATCTTTGACTGGTGTACAGTGGTGTGCTGGTAAACATGATAACGAGCTTGCTAGCTCTATTCATATCATTGCTGGGTGTTGTGATACATTCAGCTTGCAACAATCTAAGAAATTAACAATCAGTTTCCATGAACTGGTACAAGCTAAGTCAGCACATCACTGCTGGTATAGTATATTTTTCCTTGGTTTAAATAATTTGTTGAAGTATGTATTTCAGGCAAAAGGATCATATTTTGTATATACAGTCTCTTGATTCAGTTCCTTGTAAATCTAAAAGAGTTTCAGATCAGAAGCTTGATTTCTCATGCAATCTTTGAAAAATGGTATAGTACTGGATTTCCAGGCATGAATGGTGAGCTAGTGGATCTCTGAATGGGCAGAGACAAGATTATGGCCATGACTGAAGGACCAGCAAGTAGACTGGTCCCACAGAACTTCTGCAGATAAAAAGAGGGGAGATCACCCATCCTTTTAGAGGGTTACTTCTCACAAGGAGAGCACACAACAGCGGTTTCCCAAGGGTTTTGGTGCCAGGAGATGAAGGGAAACCAACATAGTCTCAACCACAGCAGAGCCTTTTTAAGGACACTGCTAATAAAGTTCTTCAAAATAACAAATTTGCAAAGCAACCTGATAAGTTTATCTTCATTTCAGAAATTTAAAAAAAACTATGAGTTTAAAAAAAGAATAGCAAAAGCTAAATAAGACTTTAATTCAAGAAAATATAAACAAATTAAGAGAACAGATGAATTTGGACTAATAGCACTTTTCCTATAAGATTTTGAAAATAATTATACAAATAGCACGTTAATGGGAAATTTTTAGTCTACCTGAAGTTATAACAGAAATTCAAGATTTTATTATTTCAAGGGGAACTAAAGATTCGAAGCCTAAAAGGAAACAAAAATTAAAAGAAGAGGCTTGCATTTTGTCTTCGATCAGCATTGAGATAAAATAACAGAAAATGATAAAGAACATTTGAAATATTCCAGGAAATAGTTGAATGGGGACAAAAACTAGCAGCTACAATGTCAGCTTCTATCCCAGGGCAGTAGCTCTTTTGAATTCTGCTGTATAGTGCAGTGTTGGTATGGTATCAGGGGTTTCTGGTTCAATGTGTGAAGAGTGAAGGATGTGTGTTTGTGTTTATTTTCATGGTCATGGTCATGATGTGCACTGAAGATGGTGTTTGATTTCGTTGTACGAGGTGCAATGACAATAAAGTAAACTAAACTAAACTAAAGCAAAGATGTCTTCTACTATGGATAGATTATTTCCCAAAAAATGTTAAAGAAATCACAAGGCTGTTAGAAGCAAAAAGGAAAAGTACAAATTTGTTTGACCAAAATTAAAATTAAGACATATTTCTATAAAACTCTGGAAACACTTTTTTTATAACTTTGAACAGTCCCTAAACAAACTGTTGTAAGTCGACGACTACCTGTAATACTAGCCTAGAGGAAACTAGAGAAGAAAGGAGGATCATTGATAGATTCGTATAAAATTAATATCTTTTTAGGTATCTATTGAAGGAAAATTGAGAGCTCTGGAAGTTATTAAATCCCTGGTCTAAGACAGGCAGTGCATCTCAATTGTAATTTTCCTTGGCAACTAGCAAGGTTGCTTTCTCACCTATGTCATTTTTGTTTGACTTTAATTAAATGACATAAGAGGGTGATATGCTACATGGTGGTCTGGTCTCCAGATAAGGTGCACAGTTATTCTTAGAAAGCAGAATTATCAGTTGGTACCGCTTGGAAATGTGCCAGTCTGCCCTGAAAAGAACGTAAAGGTAAGTTGCAGGAGTCGAAAGCAACCTGAGGAAAGGAGCTCATTTCTTCAAGTAGCTGCTACGTGATTTGCTGGGCACTCCAGGTAGCTCTCCTGCATATAAACAAATATTGATAGCTTAAAAGAAGGGAAAAAAAGATTAATGATGTGCTCTGAGAATATCATAGGTGCCCTCTAGCCCACCCCCACCCACCCTGCTCCACAAAGTTACAGTACCTGCTAGGCAATACTCTCTGACATAAAATCCTACCTTGTCCTCCTCATCTTGCTCTGATTCAGAAACAAATACATTTTTGCAAATAGGAAGGTAAGATCTTGTCAACTAAAGTTTTTTGTTGACTTTTTTTCTGTTGTTTTTTTCAACAACAACTGCGCAGTAAAATCTGCTTTTTGTTAATCTCTAAATTTCATGGAAATCATTTCCCTGAATAGTGGTCACCATTCATTTATATGCAAGTGGCTGTTTGCCAGCCATTATGGAAAATCTGGAATTAAAACAGAGAACACACACACACACACACACACACACACACACACACACACACACGGCTTAGGGAGATCTTTTTTTGGGGGGGGAAACAACATACAAAAAAGAAAAATACAAATCTACAGTATACGTGAGTGCTTTCTATTGCCTTTATATTATCCCATACTCTGTTTCTTTTACTATTGCTGTTACACAGTTATTATTATTTCTATATTTTGAGTGCCCATAGACCAGTGTTTTCCCCTTAGAGACATTGGTCTTTCTTTAATTCCTCTCTCTCTAGGATTTCTTCTGCCTTTTTCTTCTTTACTAAGGGGCACTGCATAAAGCACTTGCTTGCGCCTTCTCACATTGTGCCTTGCTGTGTTTTTGCTCTGCTCTGCTGTGCCTCTTCTTTTTCCTTTGGGCTATTCAGTTTCTGTGAAGGAAAAATATATTCTTTTACTTCATTGTATTCTCTGTTTGTTGCTAGCTGCAAAGCTTCCAAAATGCACATCTCCTCTTTTCTCTTCCATTACCTATTTCAAGGTTACAGATTTATAGGTAACTCTGCCATGTTGATGCTAAGGAAAAGGCTCAAATAGGAGAGGCAGAGATCCTATTTTTTTCACCAGCCTGCTCTTCCATATATTTACAATTATATGTGAAAGTTTAAATATCCTTGGTCAAATTATGTGTTTCAGTTAATCCCTAAATGAACAAAAAATGATGCAACTCTTGAGTAGTACAAATTTATATGACATCTTCCTTGAAATGCATACTGACCATTTATGTGCAGTTATCTGTAAATTTAAAAGAAGAAAATAGTGACTATGACAGATGCAAAATGTAGAAATCATTTTGATTAGTGCTTTCTAATACCTCCTTTGTCAAAAACAACAGCTTTTCCTGTAACTGGACAGGAATTCCTGTAAAAAGACTGTCTTCAAGAGCTAATCTTCTTCAGAAATGGAAGCTGAAAGGAAGTTAGATGTTTCAGAAAGAAAACAGCTTGAAATGTACCTCTAAATCAGTCATGAAGTATTTACAGTACAAGAAAGAAAAATAAAAAATGCTGGCTTGCCCTTCACACTCCTCAAAGTTAAATACTGTTGAAAAACTGTCAGGAAAGCTCAAATATTAAGCATATTAATGCATATTAAGAAAATCTAAAAGTATTTCTAAACTAGAGAGTTTTTGCAAGAAATGAGGGGATCCAAAAGCAATAATAAAAAGACTAAAAAATGCTTACAGGAAAATTATTTACTCCCAAAGGAGATGTTACAAAATGCAACTGTGAAAAGTGTACAAACTTCTGTATCTGCCATATTCACTGGTTTTTTTCCTTTTGAATTTATAAAAAAAATGTGAATAAGTGTTCAGGATGTGATTATTATTATACTTATTAGCATATGGCATTACATTAACCAGGAGACTACAATCCTTATGCAGAGTAGTAGCTTGGCTGCCATTTTACTAGCTCTGTTGTGGTACACACTCGCATCCCAAGGTGCACCACAGGAGGGAGAGCTAGCTTTGCAACAGAAAGAAAGATCAGCAGCTCTTCCTGTAGCATCATCTAAGGCCTCCCTCCCTCCACTGGAGCCGCCTCGCAAATGGGTGTCAAAACCGGGAAGATTCAGAGTTGGTAGGAATCTGACCACCTGCATGAAGCACCAGCTCGTCTCCCCCACCGAAGTGGTATTTATCTTGCGTAGAACATGCTTTCAGATTGCTAGGTGGGCAGAAGCTGAGATAAGTGACGGGCATTCATCCCACTATGCAATGGTAGGGTTCGAACCACTGGAGCAGAGACCATCTCCCAGCATCATTAAGCCGCTGAGCCCCCATGCCTCCCTTCAAGATGTGATGTTTAAACATATACATATACTGTATAGAGGTTACATATATTGTATAGAGGTTATATCTGCTTCTGCTGATTTATGGAACATGCAGTTTCACTAGAACTTTTGCATACATGCATTCATGGTAGAAGAGCCCTTGTTACTTGTATGTCACTTTTCCTTTTACTTTGTTCCTTTGTTGAAACAAAGATGAAATGAATTATAATTTGTAGCTTCTATGTGCTATTAAATAGGCAGTTATTTTATAGTTAATGGATCGAACTGTTACTGTGATGTCCTGAAGAACAGAGTCTTGTTGTAAATTCCATTTTTAAGTATGTATGCATACATGGAAACTAAAATCTTTTAGATAAAAAGAATAATTGCAGAAGTAAAGAGAACATTAGGTATCTGAGCATATATAGAAAGGAAAAAGGAAACAATTGAAATGCAAACTACTATAAGTAAATGTGACAGTTATCAGTCCTCTCCAGCATAGAATAGGCACCTAGGATACCTGAGATTGCAATGAGTTCCCATATAACATCCAGATGTAGAATAGGATAATCAGATTTCACACAAAAAATAATTAAACCATAGTTACTTAGTTCAACTTCATATATGAATTATTACAAAATGGTTTTCTATTCTGCAGTAGAAATTTGGAATTCTAATTTTGTTTAACAGGTATAGACACATTTTCCTTCTCTCTACCCTAACTTATAACATGGTGCAATATTTAGAAATGCATACATGCATTGTTTCAGTGATCATTATCTAAACTGCTGTTAGCACTTCAAAGGTTCTATAGAAATAATTTGAGAGTGGAATGCTTCAGATTCAGTTTAGAAAAGGTGCTTCAGGATGTGTGGAAACATGAACTGAGCATCTGACTTGACAAAATCATCTAAATTGTCTTTTCCAAATTGGTATAGTACCCCAAGTTGTATGTACTTCAAGAAATACAAATATAAGTTGTGCCTTTTGATACAGTTGAACCACCGTATAGTAGCTGGCTGCAAAGATAAACCAGCATTCATGTTTTGTTGAAATCTGTTTCAAATAAATTCCAATGGCACCTGCAGCAAACCGTAATGATATATGATAACACAATCACACAAATGCCATGATTACTTACTTTAGTTACAACATTTTGTGTATTTACATCACCACACATTTCCTGTCATTGCTCCCCTTCTCTGCCACCCATGTCAATTCTTTGATCCAGCCATTGACTTTGCTTGTTGGATGGAACCCCCAGGAAGTTGTAAATGACAATCACGTGACCTTGGGACACTGCAACTGCCATAAATACATGCTGGTTGTCAAAGTGTCCGAATTTTTATTATGTGGCTGCGGGGTCACTACTACAGTCATAAGTGCAAAGGAGGTGTCATGGTTTTTTCGTTTTGTTTTTTTTGCAACAAAAATAAGATTGTAGCAAGTTAAAGTAAAATTTAAATTATAAAATGAACAATTTATAATATAAGATTTGTGGATTATATTCACAAAATTATAATAAGCTTTTGATTATTATTTAGTTTAATATTAGCATCTTTCTGTTTATTCCAATATTAAAGGAGGCTTACAATGATTACAACATACATGTTATTTTAGTAACCAAACATACTGTACAACAGTATAGACTCATGTTAAAATTGTTTCAGATGATAATTAAATAATGCCCTTGGGATTATTTTACAGCACCATTATGGAACAGTTTATTGTTTGCAGTGTACCCTGTCTATATGTTTCAAAGTAGATTTCATACTGTAATGCTATGTTCTGCTATGGGCATCATTGCTCTTTATTTTGAAAGTGATTCAGTAGACATACATAATACTTCACAAATAACAATACACTACAAGAAGGAAGTTCGGTAGAGCTTCCACATCTTTTTACTGCCAAAGGGTTTAATTCACGATCTTGTTATATAAAATGCTTCCTCATCTTGTTCCTAAGCAACTGCTTCATTTTGAATTGAGTGAAAATACTGTTTGCCTAAAATCTGCTGCCTCCTTTGTTCCTCTCTTATGAATAAAGTAAGAGCGAGGTTACCAAATCAGTTCCCACTGCAAACCCAGATCAGTCCCCCACTGCAAACTATTGTTATTACCTGGTAACTACTCACGTGTCATATGGACACAGTTTTGCTTCTTTTCCAGATAATTAGATTGTGTATAGACATCCTCCTCCTCTGGGGAATTGTGACTTGCTCCATATGAGAATTCATCACAAGGCATTAGACAAGAAGCTATACAGAGTAAGGAAATGAAGTCACATAAAGAAAATTTTATATTTCACTTAATGATGTTAGGCTTTTTTTTTAATCTTTAAAGCAATCTGCAAGTTAACTCTAACATATATAAATACTATCTGGCCAAACTGAACCCATCCACCTGGTCATCAAGTTAGGACTTGGTGCAGATCTCAAATCCTCATAAGATACATGGAGCATAGACCCGGTGATAGTAATATTCTCTTGGTAGCTCCCATTTTATGAAAAGCCCTCCGTCAAGAGATACAAATGACTGTACCAGCTGACATTTCATAAACAAGTTAAATCAGTGTGAATTATTAGATTTGATTTGATTTGATTATTTTGCTGTTTGTAGTTAAGGCATAAGATTAAAAACCAGGAGATTATAAATTCTGGCCCAAGCATGAAAAACTGGCTGAGCCTTGGGTCAGTCACTCTCTCTCAATCCAGCTCACCCCACAGGGTTGTTGTGGGGAAAATAGAAGGAGGAAGGAATATTAGGTATGTTTGCTGACTTAAGTTATTTATAAAAATAAATAATAATAATATCAGGATATACACTAAACAGATAACTACATTACTTGAATTATTTATATTGAGCTTTTTGTGTTTGTCTTTTGTGATTTATTTTGTTGTACTCCATTCAGAACTGTTAGGGTGGGGATGTGTTACAAATATTGTAAAATAAATGAAGTATTCAAACCATAGATTGAGACCTTTGCAAAGAAGGGGAAATTTTTAAAGATATTTAGAAATGGAAAAAACAAAGGTAGTTTGTGGGAAAAAATGGCTTATCTTCTTTTTTCCAGGCTTTCACATCTTATTCATTATTGTTTCTCCTGTCTTATATGAGCAGTGAAATGCCCACATATCTGACAAGTGAATCCCTTATCAAATTAGAAATTATTTAGAATTCCCTGACTGTAATTGTCTAAAACTTCAGAAAGAATAAAATACCAGTCTTGACTACACTGATATTAGCATCATGAAATTATGGTGATGATGGTGATAGTGATGATGATGACTATCAAATATAGCTATTTCTGTTTTGTCTGTCTTTTGATTTTGAGTATGCATTGTTTAGTTTACTGTATTGTCATTGCAGCTCGTACAACAAAATCAAAGACCATCTTCAGTGCACATGACCATGAAAATGAACACAAACGCACATCCTTCACCCTTCACACATTGAACTGAAAATCCCCGACACTACACCAACACTGCACTATACAGCAGAATTCAATTGTCAGAATTGTCAGATTACAAGAGGGAATTCTTCCTATTGCTGTTAAGGATGTTTTTAGATGAAAAATGCTGACTAAACATTATGTTTTGGGAGCACTGGAATTCACTCTGATTCTAACAAAAGCTATTATCAGAGTCACGTAAAATATAGGATGTTCGACAAACCACCCTATAGCTTGCTTTAGAGAAAAGAAGATGAGTTGCTGAACATTATCCTTAAATGAACACAAATGGATTGTGGTTGAGCAATAGGAAGAGTCTTTTTATAAACTCTGTTAACATTATGTAGCCATCAGAAGATTTTCACAATGGTTTGTAAATGGTTGAATGCTCTTATTAACTTTCTATGTTCCAATAGAAGAAAATATTTGTACTTCAGGGTTGAAATGAGGGGTCCTTGGTGCTCTCTGAGCTAGGTTGTTTTCTTGCCAACATTTCATTACCCAAATTGTATTACACTGCCAGTGCACTGATGATGTTACCTAGTTTGGGTAATGAAACATCTAAAAGAAAGAAAGAAAGTTCAGAGACCACCAAGGACCCCCTGCCCGAACTTAGTATGTTTCACAAAGTGTTGGAGCACTATCAAATGTAAGACAGTACAAAATGTGGTATTAACATTTGATTCATTATATGTTAAGCAGAATGCTAATATCTTCATCTTTTTCCCCATAAATAGTATAGTTAATAGTTATGTGGATATATGAGAAATTATATGAGGAACAAAATGAAAGCCACTGTCACAGCACTTCTTCTCTTTCTTCATATCATTATATTTTCCTGGTCCCCTTCTTTTCCCTTTCTTTGGCCATTTAACCTCTACTCATTTGGTGTCCTCTGTAATACTTTAAAATTTTTATCACTGCAAGTTTCAGCCATTTAATTTAGGAAGTCTTCTTGACATGCACCTATGCACCAACTTTAGTCAATTTGGTGGTATACGCTATGGCTTCAATATATATTTGGTAACTAAAATCCAATCAGACCTTTTATTTCTCATTACTTAAAGCTTTATTTTATTATTTAAAAATACTGGTGTACTTTTCAACGCTTTCTCAGTCAACCCATTAGAGATAATTTGCATTATAACTGATCCAGCACTAGAGAAGAGGCTCTCTCCATGTCAGGCATCACGGCTGAGGGAGTAGGTAGGCAAGATAGTTGTGTCCTATGCCCCAAAGAAAAGTTAATAGACAATTTACATGAGTGTTCCAAATATGGCTGTATGTTGACTCTCCTGTTTTCTTTCTCAACATGTTGCTGAATTTCTCTGTTGCGGGATGAACTGGCTGGTGCTGGCAAATCATAGAACCCATTGTGAAGAATGGCAGACCTCCAACATCACACAGCATGCACTCATTTCTTCATCAGTATACAGGATCCTTCAAAAAACCTCCATTACGAAGACCACACAGCGTTATAGGGGGAAGTCTGGGTTCTTTTATGGCAATGCCAAGAAATGGGAGCAGATTAGGTAATGTGCGTTTTTAATATTCTTTAAATTAATAGGTTCTCTTTTTTCTTTTCTTACCTTTATGCTGTAATAACTAGTATAACAGTCCTGTGGAATACCAGCTCCAAATTAAGATATTAGATATGTTCGTTGCATATCAAATGGCGTAAAGCAGGAATTTCAAATATGATGGCTATATTAGAATAATTGTATGAATAAACCTTGTTGAATAAATAAATAAACCAGGAAATAATCTAAACTCACTTCTACCACATTGTGCTAGTACCACACCAGCTGGGTGTTAATTCTCCTCCTGCTGCTTCAGGTTAGGAGTACATTTTTTAACATTTTCTGTTAGACAGCAGCCATTCAGTGTACTTAGGAAGCTCCGTAGTGGGGACAATATTACAAAACAGTGACAGTTCTCCAGTGTTACAGCCTAGCAGTTGTTGCTTATTATATGATTCTTATTCAGTGAAGTCTGCCTAGACATCAAAATTAATAGTGATTCATGGCCAGTTTACCATGAACTTGGGTACCATAATTTTTATTTATTTGTTTATTAGATTTTCCCTCTACAATCAAAAAAACACTTGGCCACTTACATTGACCCAGTAAATTACAATGAACATCTATAGTATATAAACAATCAACATGTTTTACAAAATTACACATTAACAGATTCTTAAATTAACAAATAATTACACAGTCAAACAGTAGCCTCAACTCATCCCTTCACAGTGCCCCAATGAAATTCATTTTTTAATAATTTAAGGAAAGACGGGATAAATCATCGTTTTAGAGAAGGCTGTTCCAAAATATGAGTAGAACAATGGAAAGAATGCCTGCAAGCCTCTACCCGTTTTGTCACACAAAAGTGATAAATTAAAATCGGATCCTCCAGGACCTTGGATCCAGTACTGCATTTTATGCCAAAAAATACTCAATGTTTATATAATCTAAAGAGCTATTCCTTTATCACTCTTCCCCCTTCTAGTATTTTCTTGAAAGTGTGCTGCTCTACTTTCACTTTCATGTGTCTTTTTGCAAGTATGTTGATCCAAGTTGCACATAGTATATAAAGAGTAGTGGTATCTGACATTTATATATGGACATTGCTACATCAACAGTCTTATTTTCAGTTCCTTTTCCCATTCATATGATAAACATTTATGAATGGCTTTTCTAAGTAGGAAGAAAAGATAATATAGGGTATCTTGAGCTCATTAGCTTGAACTGACAGCTGTGAAAATCTGCTTGCCCAGAGCTCATAGCCAATCCAGTCCCTTCCTATATCTATCAGCAAACCATCCGTTTTCAATTATATTGTTGTCTAAATCAATTATATGGATTTATGTTACTGTATCCATGGCATATTGCTTAAATATTCATGAGTGCATGAGGTCTTCTTCCTCCTTACAGCAAAATTAACTGTCAGACTTGCCTGTTCTTTGTCTGAATTAGGTTTCCCAGAGGTGTAATTTTTATGTCAATAAGCTTGTGACATAGAAACATTTCTTGTGAATAGAGTATTGTTTTATCGATAAGGAGAAGTAAAGATTGGTCTGGCCCATTTCCTGCATCTGTAACTTAATTTTATTAAATAAGCTTTAAGAAAGAGATTTTTTCCCTAATTTGAATTATTTTTACTGTACAGTGCTTTTTGTTAATTTAAAAAATCATTTTTGCTTTTAAATAAAAGCTTATTCGGGATTAAAGATATTTTATTTTCAATTCTGTAGACCAAAGCAAATCCATCTCAGAAGACAATTGTGATTTCTGATGAACTATAAGCTTCAGAATTGTAATGTAAAAATAAATACCTTTAGTCTCTTTTGTATACTGAAAAACTGAATGATTAAAATTTTTGGTGTCTTGAACATTAGTTCTGAAAACAAAACATCTATAGATGGCCTCTTCAAACAATGTCTTGAACTTCCTCAGTGTTTCCTGTATATCTTATTAAAATGCATATTGTCATACAGTATATGCAAGACTATCCAATTTTATTACACATTTTTTTATCTGCATTATACCTCATTCAGATTTAATTTCCTTTGAAATGCTATTTATTAGTAATTAGTAATACTAATGTACATAAAAAGTACCAAAAATATTTAATGGACCTTTATTATTTATTTATTTATTTATATTTCATTTTTCTTAACCACTTATCTCCCTCAGACAGGGACTTTTTTATAGTTTAATCTAACATATTGGAGATTAATGGGCAACAACTCTTTTTTGTAGAAAATGATAACTCTCTCTGTGGAGGTTGGGGGTTGGATGGGAATCTGTGACTATGTGCCATTTTTACTCCACAAAATGTGTCTGTCCCTCCCAGCAGCTAAAAACCTTTCCTTTTCTAGAAATAAAGATTATGGGTAGCTGGAGGTCAGTTTAGTGTTCACAGAGACCTCCCATGAAATGAAAGAATTGAAAGGGGAACATTGGGGGGATAATAACAAGAAAGATGCAGAGGGTAGGAAGAGATGAAATGATTACCTCTTGTAATTGGATATTTCTACAGTATAACTTCAATTTTTTGGCAAAACTTGTTTGCAAACTAGTTTTTCTAAATGTAGAAATATGATGGCTGAACTTTGGTCGAACTTCCCTCAAATATGCCATATATTTTCCAGTCACTGTTATATCTAAATGGTGCATATAGCAGCTAATCAAAAACACAAGATACTTCTTATTAGAAAAATGTTGATTTTTTGCCATTTTCTTCTGTTGTTCAGGAAAGAACATTTTAACAGCTTCAGTTTGATACTTACTGTAGCAAATACTGTAGTTATTGGCAAATAACCAGTGCTGCTATTTGAAGATGTCTGTCGCCAAACATTTATCTAAGTTCAATTTCTTTTATCATCTCTTAATAAATGCCTCCTTTTATATTGAATATTTGGAAGATTAGAATTTTACATTTTAATTTAATACAGCTCTTTTTTCTTGCTGTATGAAGGTACATTGCTGCTTTGGTTTTTTAAAGATTATGAAATTAAAGATCAGTTATCAATTAATAGCAATAACACTTAGACTTCTATACTGCTTTATAGTGCTTTACAGCAGTGGTTGCCAACTGGTGGGCCATGGCCCACTGGTGGCCCACAAGAAAATTTTAGTGATCTGCAGAGAAATGTCACCCCCAGAGTACCCCCCAAAACAATTAATCCAGGCTACGCAGGAACATAAGGCTGCGCCTCCCACATGGCCCATGGGAACCCTCCCAGCCCACTTACTCTTTACCTGGCAAACCTGCCTGCTAAGTTGCTATTTTTCCTTTTTCCGACCATCAGCTGTTCTGCTGTGCCAGGAGATTTAGATTTAGCAGGAAATTGTTGGATTTCTTGTTTTCTAGCTAATCTTTAGATCTTCCGATCTGCTTTTAAGCAGAGCCAAAACTCCCTTAGAACTAAAGGTTCTATTATTCAGTTGCAGACTCAGATAGCCAATGGCAGAAACACAGATCTCTCTAAGTGAATCTGTGATTCTGTGAGCAACTCAATCTGCCTACCTGCTTTGCCTGCTTTTGGGTAAAAGTTGCTCTTTTTTATATAAAAAATTCAATACTTACATGCATGGTGTGTTGTGAGCTAATTTTATGAGTTTGCTTGCTAGCAAATTTTATGAGTTTTTTGTTTGCAACCAAATTGCATGTGACAGAGTCAGATAGCCGATTGCAGATAGATAGATTTCTAAATTAATCTGTGATTCTGTGAGCAATTCAATCTGCCTGCCTGCTCTGGCTAATTTGGGGTAAAAATTGCTCTTTTTAATAAAAATTCAAATATCTGTATAAATATTTATAATATTTACATACAAGCCATGCCCACCTAGTCATATGACCACCAAGCCACACCCACAAATTAGCCCATGCCCAAGAACCAGTTGTTAAGAAATTTTAATCCCACCCCTGCCTCTGTGTGTGTGTGTGTGAGAGAGTGAGAGAGAGAGGGAGAGGGAGGGAGAGAGAGAGAAGTTAGATCTCAAAGTAGTTTACAGAGTTGGCATATTGCCCCCAACAATTTGGGTCCTCATTTTACCCACCTCAGAAGGATGGAAGGCTGATACAGGATAGGACAAAAGTGTTGTAACTGAACTAACATTTTATAGTTCCAAAGTACTAATGATCTGTAATTTGGTTTGAATTTATATTTTGTTTTTCCAAATATAATCTGAGTGACTGACAATAAAATACAAATAAAAGAAGAAATAAAAGTAATATATAAAAGCACATAAACAATTACAGGTAAAATTTTAAAATCTGCCTCAGCAGAGAAAGCAGTTGAATTAGTAAAATGTGTCTAAATAAAAATATATTTGTCACCTGCCAAAGAATAACAGAGAGTAAGCTGGTTTGCTCTGTACTGACAGAGAGTCGCATTAAAGCCTGAGAACTATCACTCAGTGATGGAAACTCCTTCACAAGTGTCAATTAAATAATTATTGGTTTTGTTCAATTTAGATATTGTACATGAAAACCTAAAAATGGGATCAGATGGTGAAAGTGACCAAGCTTCTGGAACATCATCTGATGAAGTTCAGTCCCCAACAGGTGTTTGTCTCAGGAACAGGATACACAGACGAATATCTATGGAGGTAATCTAGTTTTTTATAGAAGAGGCATTACCCTAACAAAAGACTTGGGATTTGTTTGCATTACTTTTATCCCGGTTAGGGTGTTTTAAAGTAAAGCTATTGATGTTCAGAAATAACTGAACCTGTACAACAGATTTAATCTGATTTTTTAATTGAAAGTTATTATTAAATGTGTAATGTATAAAACATAACATGCCCTAGATAGAATTTCTATCAATTCTGTCCAGTTAGCTACTGGAGATGAAGTAATCCAACACAGCTGAAAAGAAGCAGGTTGAAGAAAGATATATTGATATATATTTGATATATTGCATTTCTTTCTTGTAAATCAGGTTTATTCATTCTGAAACCCTTCAGGTATATTAGGGATACATGGTGAAAGGCTATGGGCATAGAGTTCTGGAAGACAAAGGGCTTATTGCATTTCTTATAACTCCCAGCCTGGAACTGTTTTTTCTGGTTAGAACTGATAGGCTCTTAGGAATGGTATAGTCCAACACATCTGAAGTCTAATACATTAAGGAAGGTTATTCAAGCATTATACTGTTTGACAAGAAGTTCAGTTGTGGCAGTCATTAGAGCTGTTTTCTGTTGGTAAATATGTTTTATCACAAAGCACTCTATAGGTGTAATTAAGAGGAAGTAGGAAAATAAGCCTAGAGCAATTTCAGCTTCCTTGGCAGATTTGCTGACATTTAAATGCTTTTATCTGAATAAAGAAAGGTGTGAGACTAGACAGAATGCTGCCTACTTTGAATTTTGTACTGGATTTTCTTTTCCTTTTTTAAATACTTCATCTGAAAATTGTTCTGTCACATCTAATCTAAGGATTCTGAAATGTCTGTTTATTTTAAAATTACAGGAAAAGCAGCTTATTACATGGTACATTATGACTGCATTTATATGTTGTGATAAGCCATGGTTTGCTTTATTTTGCCACTACAGTGGAAAAAGCCACTATTGGATGGGTTCACACTAAGCCTGAAAGTCCAAGCTTGTAGCTTAATATAATATGTGTTTGATTCCAATAGCTATGATGATGAAAATTTCAGACAATCAAAATAATGTTGAAGCAGCTTCTCAAAATATGAAACCATGAGATGAAATAGAAATAATGTAGAGGCTGATCAAAGCATTTGTAAATAGATTTGTAATGGACAGTGTATCTCTCTAGGGTTAGAGTTAGAGTTGTCAGGCAACTGGGATAAAATTTATTTTTAATGTATTCTTAATAAATACATATTTTCAAAAACTTGCTGGAAAGAAATAAGAAAGCAAATGAAAACAAAATAGTGTCCATTCCCCCACATGCAGTTATGAAAATACAAAAGGCACTGTTGTTTGTCTTTTTCTAGCTATTAGTAAGACAGACATGATTGTGATCCAGCAAAGAGAAAGCTGAAAGAATTTTATAGTCATTATTTTAGCAAAGCCAAATAATCATGCTATTGTTTCATTTGGTAGATAGGCAGTAAGGCCAAATAGTGTAGTATTTTTCAATGTATATAACCATCAGATAAGTTCACTCCACTCTTTCTATTTATTCTTTCTATATATCTAATTTCTGCTAAGACAATTTTTCTAGAATGTGCTGTATTGGAGCTTTGCACAGTCCAAAGATTTTGACCAACAACTTGTCAGAAAAGGCTATTCCAGAGGTTAGATCTGACCTCTTAAAACCCCTTTCCTTTTTGTTCCCACAAAATGTATCTCTGCCTTCAGTATGATGTAGCAGAGAACTTTAGTGCAGTCCTTTGAGATCAAGAAAGTTTATTGTGAAGTAGAAGTAGTCCTTGAGGGATCCTGTTTGTTAACTATTCAACTATTTGAATCACGTTTAGCAACTGTTTGGAAATCATTGAAATTTTAATATAACTGTTGCATAAAAATATATGGCTTCACTGTTTTGAATAGTATTTCTTCCTGGCACAAATTACTTTTTTTAAAAGAACTTAATACAAACAGCAGTTAGAAGTGTATCCAGAATTGGGTTCTTCACTCAAGTGATGTCATTTCCTTGTATTGAATTGGCTAGCTATAAAATAACTTTATTTACTGTTTGCAGAACACTTGTGTGAATGAAAGTTGTACTACTAAAAGTTAAATAATAAATAATGGCAAAGGAAGTAGGTAACTATGCTTCAAGAACATTTCCTCTCTTTGGACTTACTGGGAAATCAAAGTTAGGCAGAACATTGAAAATTGAGCTACAACTGAAAACATGGCAATGTAGGCTTTAGTTTGAAATGTGTAGATTTGGAAAGACAATTTCTTACTCATGACGCTTTCATTTAATGCTTATTAATCTGCACAATACTCCAAAACTGAGTACAATGGGAAAGCTCTTGACTTCCCCAGATTTCTCTTTTCCTGTTTAAAAACGGAATTGTTCATGACAGTAAACAAAAGGAGGAAAAGGTACTTAATTTCCTTCATTTATAAAAATCTGTATGAATGCCAGTATTTCTGGAAATTACAGTAAAATTTGAAATAATGTTTGTCAATTTAAGAATCTATATTCAAATTAAACTTCTAATTTAAATATATATTCTTTTAATTGTGGCTTTCTGAATTAAACATGTTTTTCATTAAAAATACAAATGCTGCTTTTACTGTGATTTTCTTAGAGCTGACTCAAAAGCTTAACTATGATTTGGTTAAATCAGTAACTAAACCAATATGTTTAACACGATTAATTAGCATATTTTCCATATTGAGCTGAGTGATAAACATTTTGTATTACTATAGTTTTAGCTTATGTACCAACAATATAATTAAAGCCTTGGCAAGCTGGTAAAATCTGAAAGGACAGAAGAAGGAGGGAGGGAAATATTGGCATTCATTCTTGTTCAAGTTAAAGATCTAAACTGAAAGTCTTTTACACCCTTTAACATACACAATAGTGAAAGCATAATATTCTTAATAATTCATGGATCAGCAATGCATTATTTGCTGGTATTAGAACAGCTATAGAACACCAAGATGGTGACCACTGACCTCAGTTACTTTTTAAAGCAATTACAAATATTTTTTAAAAGGCCAAAATATGTCATGAGGTGTCTGATGACACTTGGACATAGGTACAAAATAATACAGTAGTATGCACCATTTGAAAAAATTACACATGTGCTATAACATATAGTTTTCATTCATTCATTTAAAATTCTTTGGGGTTTAAAGCTAATAAAGATGCCTGTCACAATTGTCCGTGGACTGAAAGATTCAATCAGATACAATAGGGTCTGACAAAATTTGAGATGAAATAATAAAAATACTTTAGGAGCAGAACTGCTTGTTTCTACAGTGGGAATCTGAAAATGAAGCAGTGAAAATAAAGATAATTTAGAAAAATCAAAGATGATAACTTATATTTCTTCATTATGATTCTGAATTAGAACTGCTTTTAAATCTTCATTCTGTTGTCAATAGAATTGGGTTAGGGTTCTATTTATTCACTTTTAAAATCACATTTTGGATATGAAAGTTGTCCTGTCCTTAATTATCAGAATTTATCTCTTATAGTGTTTTATAAACTTGGATTCTCCAATTGTTAAGATCTTTGTTTCAGTTTGCTGATAGTATGCACTGTCCAGCAGATAATTTATTTCAAACATGACATTTTTTTCTGATGTATCCAGTTAACAATTTAAAAAGATTGACTGGCTAGTTAATTAAAATAGGGAAGTTTTTATTTTTAATTACCACACCAAAACTATGCTAGAATCTACAATTATGAGTCTCTAATATTTCAAAATGCTAAATATAATGTTTTTATGTTCTTTATCTGTAAAATAGTGATTCCTCCCCATTTTTGTGGTAACACAGTTCTGTCGTAATATCAGTCTGTTCATGCTCCCTGCCCTGTTTGAGGTGTGTTCTGTTTTAGATGCATTGGAATCTTAAATGTGTGTAAAGTGCACTCCCTGGAAAAGGATATATGATATGACCATAGATGTAAATGGCATGATTTAGGCAATGTGGGCTTGTATGAGGAAACCTCAAGTTGTGCAGCAGATTCCTAGGAAGGGAGACTTAGAAAGCCATGTGAAATTCAAAGGAGCAAAACAGTTTCTGACAAGCAAAGACTGATGATAGCACTAAACTCTACCATGCCATATAGAAATGTAAAGAAGTTGAGTACATTTATTTGAGAGCTTCACACCACAGAGATTTCTCCCCTTTCCTCCCCCTTCTGCCCCTGCTAGATCCATTGTAAAAGTTATTTTCTAGTGATTTGTGTTAGTATCCCAGTCCAGAGATTCTTATCCATAAAGCATTGGCCCAATATATAATTCTTCATAAAAATGTAGTGTATTTTCTGTGGAAAAAACGATCCACTGCATAGTCTTTCGGAGTTAAAAATACAGGCAAGTGTCATGCTTAAACGTTAGTATCATGAAGTAGCAGTGAGGCCTACAAATATTATTGGGTGTTCCATCTTCCTTAGTAGTAGTGCCTGCATCACAGGCATACACAGTTTTATTAAGATGATTAATTTATTATCAATACAATACAGAAAAGCACATTTGAAGAAGGTCAGTATAACATCACCATCTTTGAAAGGTACTGAAAATTTGAAAGACCAATAAAGACAGGAAACTATTGTCATATAAATTGTGTGAGATAGCTGTTTTTGCAATGCAAGACTCTTGCCCAACTCATTTATTTACCTATATTTCATAAAGACATTGAACAACACAGGATGATTAAAATGTGGTAGTAGTAATTACCTAGAGTCATTCTTTGCAGTAGAATTTGTAGACTTTGTAGGCTTTACAAAGTAGACTTTGTGCAAGGAAAGTATTATTCATTTTCATTAGCTGAGTGTGTTCCTGTCATGCCTTGATCATAGTGATATAATAAAAAGGAAATGATTTACCATGATTCATAATTCAAAACTGACTTACATTTACTTTTAGAACTTAACAGTTTTTACATTTAGAATTATTTTTATTTGAGCACAATTTTATTTGAACACAATTAACTTTTTACTATTAATGTAAATATTTTTATCTCATAAAATTGTCTATTGTGAATTAAACAATAACATAACTTTAAAAATCTCACTGGTGAGAGTCCTATGATTCCTTCAATCAAGGGGAAAGTAGGAATCTTAACTTTGTCTTATAGCACAATGGTCCCCAATCTTTGCAATTTGGCCTGACGGGAGGGGGAAGAGGGGAACTGGGCCAGCACTCGCATCCATACATCTCAATTTGTGTGAGCAACGTGTGGACAAAGGCTGGCCTGCCACTTATGCAAGTCAAGCTCACGCATCCACACCATCCGCTGCTCACGCGATCCTATTCTTAATATGTAGTGGGCCATGGCCCAGAGGTTGGAGACTCCTGTTATAGCATATAACCTGAGCATTTGTGTTTGGTTTGATTAAAAAAAATTTTTTTCAGCATAGGGTTAACATATAGCACAGAACACTTGGAAATCAATTTTCACTAGAGCAGTTGTTTCACTAGATTATATAGAGAACAGACTTTGTTATTCATCTGCATAACCCGGGTCCAAATTTTTAAATTTTTATGAAGAACTCTGGACTACACGTGAAGGATATTAAGATAGCATTTCCAGATTTAGTCTGCAAAAATCTGGTCAACCATTAAATAGCAGCACATAGAAAGAATTTGTAAATCAGATATTGGCAAGGTTAAAGAAAGCCTTTATTTCCATTAAAGAAAGTAAAATTCTCTTTTGCTATTTTGAGAAGTAAAGATTTGAACTTCATATGAAGCATTGCAATTGTGTTTTTCCATAGAAACACCCTGTTTGCTTCATTTCTGTGTTCTTAACCAGTAACAGACTATGCCTACATTACTGAGTACTTACTGACATTTTTATTTTTCTATGGAAACAATTTCTGAAAATATGTATGCCCTCTTACTAGTGTTGGTTTACTTCTCCAGGACTTGAATAAACGTTTGTCACTACCTGCAGACATTAGGATACCTGATGGATATCTTGAAAAGTTGCAAATAAATAGTCCACCATTTGATCAACCAATGAGTCGACGATCTCGTAGAGCATCATTGGTAAGCTTGTTTACCTGAAATAGATAACTTTACAATATCCTTCATACTTTCATTGCAGAACAGAAGTTTAGATATGTTACAGCAAAAAGATAGGTGTCTCAGAGCACTTGCAGCTGAACTGTGATATAATTCATTTAATTAAATGACATATTATTTTCTTATTATAATATGTCTTATGACATATTATTTTCTTAAATAAGGCTCAAGGTCTAGATTCACTCCTAATACTAAGCTTTAATTCATGATTTACAAACTATAGTCATTAGGATCCTCTATCAACTAGGCAACAAACATAAATGTTAGCTTATAAAGTGTGAAGTCAACTGATTTCTCCATTATACTTATGAAATTTGTTTAAAAAACAGGAAGACAAATGTGAGGATGGGATCTCATATTGGTCAAGTATAATAACAAAACAGTGGATAATAAACCATGTTTATAAAATACAGGCATTAAACAGCAATTGGGACCACAGTTTTTGTTGTGGAGATGTGGTCATAAAGCACGATATCAGGTGACCACATTGCTTAGCAACATTAATAACACTTACAATTACATACCACTCCATAGTGCTTTATAGTACTCTTTAAGTGGTTTACAAAAGTCAGCACATTGCCCTCAATAATCTGGGTGCTTATTTTACCAACCTCAGAAGAATGGAAGGCAACCTTTAGCCTGAATGCCTGGCTGTGGGCAGAGTTAGCCTGCAATACTGTATTTGTTACTGCACTACCATGGCCTCAGAAATGGCAACCCTGCAGTTCTAGTTGTCATCGTAACCCAGGACTCTGCGGTTCATTAAGAGACAGAAGCCCCAGGCAAGCAGGCCGGCGGTGAGAGCAACAGGCACATGAGGATTGTGCAGTGTTCTGGAATACAGGTGCCGCAGAGAACCATGAGCAGTGCTAAGGAGCACAGATGCTACAAAGGGAGTGAAAGGAACCACATTCAAGTGTTACAGAGAGCGGGTGGACAAAAAAGCAGCAACAGTAACTTCCAACTACCTGCTGGCCTCTCCATTAATTTTGCTTATGGAAAGCTGGCAGTGAATATCAGAAATCACAATCACATGACCTTGTCTTGCTGCAGTATTGTAATCATGAGCCAGGCACCAAATGCTCGGATTCCTCCCTGGATCAATCATATGATCCAGAGATGCTGTGACAGCTGGAACTCTGAATACTGTTCAGAACGCTTGTTCAGTTCCATCACAACATCATACTCTGAATGAGTATTCATAACCCATGGACTATCTGTAGGGTTTAGGATCCTGAGTAAAGTAAATAATCTCTATTTAAATAAATAGGAAAAAAAGTTTTTTATAGATTTTGAAATTCTCCAATCCATTATGAATTATGCAAACAAATTGGTTTAAAACATTTAGTACTGTTTCATCATGTTTTCACTTTTAGTTACTTTCTGATTATAAGATATTCAGCCTGATCCCTTGGGCCTTCCAAAGATTTACCCATCACCAGGGCTTTGTTCTAAAGAGCTATTATTAATTTATCTAATTAAAGGCTTATTACGTTTCAAAGGGAAAAGGATACCTTGAAATACATATCTTTTCCAAGGATCAGACCACACTTGTGGAGGGCAGTCTCAGTGGCCTCTCTCCCAAGTCAAGCATGCACATAACTACACAAAAAGATGTGTTTGGTTTTTTTTAATCTCTGTTTACTAAATGAAACTTGCAAACACACCCACTTGCATTATAGAAACAAGATACTTTCCAGACTTCAGCAGGTTTGGCTTAACCAGAGTTCCAATTCAAAGTGACACATAGGAGAGTAGTCAGGTGGAGTCCAAAGGTCAGAACTTGTGGTGGAATTGTCCGTCAATCCGAGTGCAAAATCCGAGTTGCAGGGTTCACGAGTCAAGGCATATAGAGTGAGCATGAACAGGCAGTTGTCCTCAATGGAGAGCTTGTGTTTGCTGTTCTGCTTTAATAGAAAAAGCCCTGGTGTAGTCTCTTTAGTGGGATTCCTTCCACTTGAGCAGTCTTACTTTTGTGCTACTTTTTGCAGCCCGCTGGGCTCATGCTATGGAAGGGAGTGGCAATTTTGCACTGTCATCTTCAGAGACTGATAGTAGCTACATCTGCCAATTACTGGCCTGTCCAGCCTCCTCTGCTTGCACAGAGAGAGACGTCTTGTCTGTTGGTGCTGGAGCTGGTTGCTTATTATCTGTCAGTCTTTCTGGACCTGATTCTGGTTCCTCATTGTCAGTCTCCTCCTCATCAGAGCCATTCATGACACTGTCCACACCGAGGAGTTCCTTAACTCCTTGAAGACAAACTCTGATATATAACTGTTTTTCAAGTAAAAATCTTTTCTCTTTCAAATCTGAAGTGCTGCACACAGCCTTCCTTTACTGAATATATGTTTCTTCAGCCCAACAGAAGAAATTTGATAGATTGTATGACCACGATTGGGCACAGAATCATGGTTGTTAAACAAAGCGTAGTTAAGTGAAACACCATGTGACTGCTTCACTCAACAACCACAATCCATACTCTGCCTCTAGAGGATTGTCTTTTAAATCCATAGAGAACTTTCTATTGGTTTAGAATGCAGTTTTGAGTGCTCCATGGTTAACCTGATGAACACCACTGATGCACTGGATTCCAGTTGCTTTCCAGGTGCAGTTCAAGATGATGGCTATCACTTTTAGCATCTGCAGTATCTTTTTAAACTTTGGAATAAGTCCCACTGGGTTCAATGCAACTTATTTCCTAATAAAAGGTCAGGAGCACAGCCCCTGTGGGTGTGTTCTGAACAGCCTCCTTTGTCTGATTAGACTCCTTATACAGCCTAATTTCAATTTTTCTGAAAGATTTTTAATCTTAAAAATTACCGCAACAACAATGGGGAACTGACATGCTGCTACAATACATACATTTAAGCACAAATGATTCTTCCAAGAATGCCTCTTGCTCCAAAGTAAATCTCAGAGACATTCTGGGTTAACAAAAAAAAAATCAAATTTCTATAGAAATTACCTATGCCCAGAAAGTAAAATAACAGTGGTGAAGAGCATCCTAAGTCACTTGAAAGAATACCTGAAACAAGCTCATTCATTTCTGTTCTGATAAATGGGGATGTTATCATTCAGCAAGTTCCTCCTGTGAATCATATTGCAAATAGGCAGCTCCCTGAGTTAGCCATTTGGGGAATATTCCCATGTCAAATTCTCAGAATTCTAAATGTGCTCACCAACTGGCAACATTTGTTCACTATTGTCTAGTGAACAGCACTTAGTTATCATATCTAATTGGTATGAAACACAATAAGAGATATGTACTATGACTTTTCAAAGATTTAATTTGCTCATTAATTTAAATTTTATTTGACAGTATTTATATTGCTGGCATATAAGTAGTAAATAGAAAAGCATAAACAAAAAAGTAAATGAGTAATAAAAGCCAGTATAAACTAAAATATATCCAAAATTCCTCTGATAGTTACTCTTTCAACTAGGGCTGTTTGTTAAGTTTAATTGTTTACAGAATGCAAAAGAGATTGAGCTGAATGGACCTCCATGGGAAGAGTGTTGTGTCTTCTAGTCCATTCTCAACAGGCCTTCTATAAATGATCAGACTGAAGCATACTCAGTCCTTGAAAATGAAAAGACTATTATTTTTAATACACTTTCTATGCCTCTATGTTTTGCAGAGTAATAGTTTCTTAATCATATGTAAACAATGATATGCCCTGATAGAGATAGTAATAACATTTTAAGACAGCACACATTATTCTCTTATGAAGTTCTATGGTGAATACACTGACGTGGACAAAGGAAACAATACTACTAAAGATTTAGTGCAAAGTGCAACGTTTATGTATCTAAGTGGGTTTTTTAGCTCTCTTATCTATTCAAATATTATGAGTATGGCTCAGAGACACTGAGGTGTGCTTATGAATATAATGTAATGTTACACATTCTTCAAGAAGACAAACTGATCTTTGTATGAATTAATTGTATTTATTCCTTGTTTTTATTACAGTCTGAAATCGGATTTGGAAAAATGGAAACGTATGTTAAATTGGAAAAGCTTGGTGAGGTATGTCTGCTTTTTTAAGCTATCAAACAAAATTAGTATTAATTATGTTTTAAATGACAATAAAGGGCAATGACTTGTCCAAGCTCAAAATAAGAGATAGAGCACACTGGAAATCAAAGAATATATATTCCTTAGTGATAATATTTGGCTTTCTGCATGATAATTGTGGACAATTGATTTCATTTAACAAAAGTACTTGTGATAAACATATTATGAAGTATTTGTTATAGATATATTGTATAAATACATTTGAGGAGTCCTTGGTGCTCTCTGGGCTCTCTTGTTTTCTTGCAGATGTTTCATTATGAGGTATTGTTTACCTGATTGTTGGTCTGTTGTTAATTTAATATGTTGTGAAATTAAAGAATTTTCATTATGTCTTCTGACTGCTAGTTGGTGTTCATTGATATGTTCTGCCAGTCTTCTGCCTGTTTGTCCTACATAGTGGTTGCAGTTCTTACATTGTATGTAGTAAATGGCTCCTGTTTAAGATTGTAACCAATACCACAATCAAGAAACTGCCAAAGAGTCAACAGTAAACAGCCCAACCAAAGAATCTCTAAGACCACCCCCACCAACACCGACAGGCAAGCCACCAGAATATAAACTGACAGCAAACCACACTCTTTACTGGCACTGATGATGTTACCTAGTTTGCGTAATGAAACATCTGCAGGAAAACAAGCAAACTCAGAGAGCATCAGGACTCCTCATTTCAACCCTGAGCTACAAATATTCTCCTTTATTGATGAATACAACATTCTTTTCCATGCCTTTATATTGCATTGCTATTGTTCTGCCCCAAGTGAATTTGAATTTGTTTCAGAAATAAATCAATACAAAATTTTCATTTTTTGCTGTTAGGTAGCTTCCACAAATGTCATAAGCTGTTGTTTGCTTGCAGAAGTTTCATTACCCAACTAGGTAACATCAGTGCATGATAGCTAACACTATCATCAGTATATGATTAAGTATACACAGATATAATATTCAACTGATAGGAAGAGAATTTTTCTCCCACATAATTTATCTTTAAAGTGAGAGGGTTGTTCCTGTGTAAGTACTTTGTAGGGATGTGCAAAAGTTATTGTTCTGTAAACATTAGGTTCAGTTACACTTCTAGGGTAATACCACTCCCTCTGTTCAATGGGTAAGCCAATTGTTTTCCAAAATATAATCCTTCAGCCAGTTCTAAAGCAATCCTGTCTGAACTATCATGTCCAGTGCAATATAAACAGGTTCCAGATTATTAGTTAACTTCTGGGAAACACCCTTGGAATGGATAGATTGGCATGATCCAGAGGAGAAGCAGAATGTTCCAGAGTTATCCACAACATTCCCTTCCAAGAATTGCAGAGTTTGCACATACTTAGTACAAAGTACTAAACTGGATGGATTAATAATGCGAAATGGGTAGACATTCTTTCCTAACTTAGAGTAGGCCCTAAATTGTTTGGACTGGTGAAGCTATTGGGAGTGTTATGAATCAGGCATAAATGGCTATGCTTTCAATAATACCATGCTTAAAATTGGGTTCTTTCAATGAAAATATTGTAATTAATATATATCTGATTCTGGGCTAAAAAAGTTCTAATTATTTTTTCCCCTTTAATGCAAAATTTGTAAATCAAATTTCATATACATTCTTTATTTGCTATTCAGGGTACATATGCAACAGTATATAAAGGAAGAAGTAAGCTGACTGAAAATCTAGTAGCTTTAAAAGAAATCAGATTAGAGCATGAAGAGGGTGCACCGTGCACAGCTATTAGAGAAGGTAAGTAACACTTTTTAATTTGGATGAAAACATGATCAGAAATTACAATTACATAATTGTTTCTAAACAGGTAGGCCTGGTATGCTTGGTTTCTAATTCAGAAACACCAGAGTAGAAAGTGACTTATGCATTTTTTATTTCTCCATAGAATGAAACAAATTTGGGGATAGGGGAAACATAAACTGAAGGCCTGTTGCTTATAACTTCCCCCGCCCTCCCTCCTTCCTTCCTTCCATTTCTAGGCCACTCATTTCAGGCAATGACTCTAGGCAACTTATAATTCAGAAAATATATTATGGTTAAAAAATTTAAACACATTTAAAAATAGTAAAACTAATTTTAAAAAAATTAAGAGCATCCAATTCAACATTAACAAAAGCAAGATCTTTGGCCAGTTAGCAATATATCCAGGAAATGGGGCAATTAACATATTCAGTGCTTAGACTGGGAATTTTTGCTATTGTTTATGGCCCAGGATCAGAAAATCAAGCACCGAATATTTTTGCCAATTTGAAATAATTTATTTCTCCAACATATGACCAAAGCAAAATGCTTTAGAATTAAACAAACAAACCAACAAAAAAGAATGTATTGAAATGTAAGGTTTAAAGTAACAGAATGGAGTGTCTCTAATCAAATTTAACATAAACAGTAGAAAACTACGTTCTTATTCAACTCTTTTGGTGTCAAACTCGTTCGCATCACATGACGTCACATCTGCAATGTTTTTTTGCCTTTGCGGAGCCAGGGTTGCTGTGGCCTGGGCGTGACATATCCGGCCCATGGGCCACCAGTTTGACACCCCTGCTATATATGTTGCCAAAGGGATGGAGCTGACAAAAGCAGTGAAAGTCTGCAGATGCCACTGATTTCAGGCTCTTAGAGTCAGCACAGACCTCATTTCATTTCTCCTTCTTTTCATCATCAAGATAACTTGCTGCTTTTTATGTATGATTTTGATCAACTCATGTAACTGGATCTAAGCTATTTTGATGACGATGTTCTGAGCACAAAAGAATACAAATTCTGTGTAATTGCACTGAAAAGATCAATTTAGGCCAATTGCTAATTGCAGCTGTAGTTGATTTCAGTTGAATTATTTTTTCCTGGATGTGAAGTTCCTAAACCAATCTACAAAGCTGTGTGTATAAAACTGTTAGAAAACTGTGCTTTAGACCAAGCATAAGAAGAGTATCTCTCTGCTATTAATTAAAGCAGCCACATCCTTTTTCAGATTTCACCCAAGCCTGAAAAAGATCTTTTTGCTTTAACAATGATTAGCTAAGGTGATTTTTAAAGCAGCAGCATATTTTCTAAGGTGTACAAAGCACTGTTTTAATGAATAGCATAAAGCTGCTGTGCTCACCTGAGATCTGAAGTACTTCTTCCTAATTACTTTTGAAGACTTATCAAAATAATTAAATTAGTACTACACATTTGCCACCCAATAGTACAGGTAGTCCTCGACTTATCGCCATTCATTTAGTGGCCATTGGAAGTTACAATGGCACTGAAAAAAGTGACTGAAGACTATTTCTTTTCAAAGTTACAGCCATTGCAACATTCCCGTGGTCACATGATCAAAGTTCAGACACACAGCAATTGACATGTATTTATGACGATTGCGTGTCCCAGGATCATGTGATCACCTGACAAGTAAAGTCAATGAGGAAGCCAGATTCACTTTATGTTACTAAAGGCAGTGATTCACTTAACAACTATGGCAAGAAAGGTTGTAAAATGGGGCCAAACTCATTTAACAACTGTCATGTTTAGCAATGGAAATGTTGAGTTCAATTGTGATCATAAGTTGAGGATTATCTGTAAAAGTATAGTTCAGTTCACTAATTTCTGTATTTGACAGTTTATTCTGTTCTTTTTTTCAGTGTCATTGCTAAAAGATCTAAAACATGCAAATATTGTTACATTACATGATATTGTCCATACAGACAAATCATTAACTCTTGTATTTGAATATCTGGTAAGTTTTTTTTAAATTTTCTCAAGTGTTTAGTTTATTCATCAAAAGCTATAGAGATAGACATATGGTAAGAAGCAAAGAAGAAGGGTAATTTTTGTAGTCTTTTAGATGCCATAATTTTAATTGTTTTCTAGGAACTCACAGTGGTACCTGGAAAAATGTTTTTCACTAGCTGATTGGTATAAGACATGCAGCACTTCTTTAGGTCTCCTTATTTTTATTTTTTTTAAACCACTTAATTATGTTCAATGTGAGCAAAATGTTCAGACCGTAAACGTACATGGAGATGTTTTTTGAATTCTGTTTAAGGCAAAAACCTTTTTTTCTCAAATACGGATTAAAATTAGAAATAGATCTGTCATCTGAAACATTTTTGTTAGTTAATCATCTCATGAAACAATGAATTAATCAAAAGTTGGATTGTAACTACTTTGGTGACCCTTTTAAACAAACTAATTTAGAATTTTAAAGAAATAAAAACCTTAAGGCTAGCTTTTAACATATGTTTAACATATGTTATTTCCATTTGTCCTCAATTAGAGGCACGATATACACCAAAGTAAATAATTAACAATAAATAATAAAATGTCTTCTTATCTTTAATGCAAATTATTTTTATTTTGACAGGACAAAGACCTAAAGCAATATATGGATGACTGTGGGAACATTATGAGTGTGCATAATGTAAAGGTGAGTTCTGATCTCTGATTTTCAATTTGAACTTTTCCTGAATACAAATGCTATCCATGTTCATACATTTTTCTAAATATTTTTTTCTCTTTAAAAAATGAATTTCATTATTAAAATGTATTTAAACATTGACTATGAGAACCTGACTCATTGCAACAAATATGTAAGGAATTTGACTTCATAAATTGATTCTTGCCATCCAATAGACATTTTTATATTGTTATACTTTCTTTCAAGTAAGAGTAGTGTGCTCAATAAACAACAGCTGACAGAATAAATGTGGTTGACAGCATAATGTACTAGAACATCATGAGGTTTGGATTATACAACCATCCAACTGTTCTTGTCTCCAACTTTAACCCTCTAGGACTTTTTTTAATGTGGATGGGGGCAGGGTTGGGGTAGGGAAAATATCGCAACTTTTCTTTGAAATTCTGTTGATTTATATCTGATAGAGATATTAATAGATTCCAAATGTAAATCATTAACTTACCGGTAAGGGTAGGTTTATCCAGACATGGAAGAGGCAACAAACATCTTTTGAAAAGAGAATGAAAGACCATTTCTAGAGTAAATTTCAAGAGTAATGTGACAGGATAGCTAAAGTTTTATAATTATATATATTGAAAGATAAATAGCTGTCTGGGGAAAAAACCTGTTCTGTGACAAATGCAACTCATAGGTGTATAACTCCATCTTTTGGACGCCTTGGTCATTGTGGATAAATTGGCAAGCTTTAAAAACCCTCTTCAGTGCTCTCAGTTGGTTCCTTTCTTCTGTTCAGTGTGGCAGGTACTTAGATGGTATTTTCAGTTATGAAAAAGGAAATAGATGATGAAAAAGACTTCGCTCTGCCTGAAGTTCTAGAGAACTATCAGAGTAGACAGTGCTGGCTGAGTGGAGAAACAGGCTGCATTTAGATTTCTGTGTTTAGAATAGGAAAATCTAGTATTCTTATCATTGAGTTCCCTGGCTTGCTAGAAAATGGTTATAGGAAAATGGGATAGTAATATTCTGCTTTTTCATAGTACTTATTCACATAAGTGAACTCTCCTGGAAGTAGTGTGAGTTTGCAGTTATTACATGACCACACAAATCTCCTCTTGAATGGCACTGAGTGCTAATGTAACCAGTAGTGTATTGGATGTGGAATAAAAACCTAAACTCGTTGGGTTCTGTGAGAGTGATGATATTTCAGTCACAGTTTCCCATATATAATCTAGCAGGACAATTATTACCTGAGAGTAGAAAATTTGAGTTTATGCATGAGAAATTATTCAAACCCATGATCAGTACGGCGATTTCTTAATGTACCCCTGGGTGAATCACTCCTGTATTTCTTGCTATAATTCACCTTCAACACAAATGGGAAGCCAATAAATAGGAGGAAATGCACCTTTCTCTGCATCTTGGATCAAAGACAAGAATAAAACAAGGCAAATAAAATGTATCATTCCAGTCACTGTGCAAATAATTATTATGTTACTAGCAATTAGCACTTCAGAGCAGGGTTTGTTTTATTTTTAATTTGCCCATTTTTGATGCAGTATGTCTGCAAATATTAGAATTGGAGACATGAATGCACTGATTCAAAAAAAATGAGGGGGGAAAAAATCTATGCAGGATTTTAGGATTTTATTCCAGGTTGCGAAGAATCAGTAGAAAGGTGGGTAGCCTAATATGACACAATAATAAAGGTCCATGAAAAGCACTGAGAACATAATGGTTTTCACATCTCTTTTAAAAATTGGTTTGCAAATCCCAGGAAGAAGCTTTTTGTTCTAAAACCACTTTGCAAACTATGTCTGAGCACTAAAATATATAGCAGAATGCTAAGGTATTGTATGTGTGCATGTCTTATGTAACAAGTATGAATAAGCCAGAGCTTGTTGCTTTTATGAGAAAATCGCTGTACTGTATGAAAAAGAAGTGTCTTTGAGTATCTGGTTGTTACTGTAGGTGTTAGCCAGATATTTTAAAAATGCAGAAAAAAACAGTGCAGAAGCATAAGAAAAACAGAGAAGGGAATACAGTTGCATCAAAATAAACTTTCCATGGCTATGAAAGTATGACATATGTGATTAAACATAGATAGAAACGCATTATTAGAAACGGTTGTTATATCATTCAGCAGGCTTATTAACCTGTGGTTTGGCTTTTATTGCATTTTAAACAGATGTCTGCAGGGTCAGAAGGGAAGATAATCTGACACAGAAAGTTTTGCATTCCAAGCTAAATAAATAAAATTTAAAATTATTATATTCTGTAACAAAGATAAATCGACTAATTACAACCTGCATATGAAAACAGCTTAGAGTTTCAAATGTTTTTTCTTTTCTATGTATTGATAAACATATTGTTGTATTACCTTGGCAGCTTTGAGGTTCAATTAATGTAGGTTTGGTTATTGCTCCTGGAACTTTTATTAATCCCCTCTCCCCTATCAGTTATTTTTATACCAGATTCTGCGTGGTTTGGCCTATTGTCACAGAAGAAAAGTACTACACCGGGACCTAAAACCACAAAATCTACTAATTAATGAAAGAGGAGAATTAAAGCTAGCAGACTTTGGTTAGTAAAAATATTTGCTTTATTTTACTTCTATGAACACTTTTCATGCCTACATTAGTTTTAGGAATATGAGTCTGTGTGTGTTTGTACACAGATACTTACATACATATTTGCATATTGAGATAGCCACAATTCACATTTGCTGAGTTTTGCTCAATTGATTTAAGGGCCACTGCAGTGTGTAGTTTCTGATTGTAAAAGCATGCTACAGTGCTGTTTCAATTTGAACTATGGATTATATTCCTTCTCTGATTTGCCAGCTATATGTGTTATAGAACCAAAAATGCTTGGTTAATTGCCTGAGAGCCAGTATTAACTTTTAGGTGATAGGGAAAATCAAACTGTTCTTGGAAGAAAAGCCACTTAAAATGTGCAGGATGAAGTGGGAATACTTAGAACACAAAACACAGAGAGCGCCTCTTGCCCGTCTGTTCCCCCCCTTACCCCCCCCCTCAAAAAAAACAGTTTATTAGATTCCTCTGGTTTTTACAGCCTCCCAGGAACATTCTGGGCATTATGTTTAAGATATTTTTTTTTTAAAAAAACAGCCTATTCCACCTTTGTCACTTGGTACTTTCTATATGCTTTTCAAAGAAACTGTTTATTGTGTAAGGATATCTTCTCTTTTGTGACTCTTGTTGCAGTAGCACTTTCCACTCACACTCAGAAATACTGCAGACAATATCTTATGCAGTTTCTTGACAAAGCAGTTCTAAGTCTCCTGTACTATAGGCTAAAGTTGTTTCCAGATGATGTGGCATACAGTTCCCTTCGTGTCCAAGCTGGATAGCCAATAAGAGTCATTGGGTGGACACCAGATTGGAGAAAGTTGCCAGAGGCACTTCCTCCTTAGTAGGACTGCAAATATGTGCCAGGATGGATAATGTTTTCATCTCAAGGAATATTTTGTTTATTTCTCCTGAGGACCACTTTCAGAAATTAGATATGGCTAAACATGTGGAACTAACGTTATTTTTTTTTTCATCTTTCTCTTTCCTTCATGTCTTCTTTTCCTCTTCTCCTTTCGCCCAACTTAGGATAGTCCAATGGCTTGTGGACTTTGACTTGCAATATCTACGAGCCAGAGTTAAGAAAACTTGCTCCCCTCTGATCTTCAGCCAATTTAATAATTACGGACTGAGGATGGCTTCCTATTTTTGCACTCTAATCATTCCCAAGTATAGAAGAGCTTTCTCCCTAGCTCACTTCAATGTTTTGCCCTCAGCACTACTGGATGGGCGATTTAAGAGGCTCCCAATTAACGAGTGGCTATGCCCCTCTGACAGAGCTGAGGTTGAAACTGTGGAGCATGTCCTTTTATATTGCCCTATGTATAACACAGGCAGATCTAAGTTACTGTCTCTCCTTGAAACAGACCCTTCTAGACCCAATGTTAGCAATTTGTTCTTATATTGTCTAGGGCAGTGGTTCCCAACCTTTTTTTCGCCCCGCACCCCTAAAGAAATTTCACTCAAACCTCGCACCCCGTGAAATAAATAATAAATAAAAATGCCAACATATAGCCAATATCTATTATTTACCTGGACTTTTCTCACACCCCCTGGAATATCGTCTCGCACCCCCAGGGGGTGCAAGTACCCCAGGTTGGGAACCCCTGGTCTAGGGGATGGCTCCTCATATATCACTTCTTCGGTTTCCAAATTTTTTTTAAGAGCTGTAACCATCAGAGGAGAACGCTGTATTTCCCCTTAGTCAAGTTTTTGGTGACCAATTGTTCATGATTAATTTTCCCTTGTTCTTCTTTTGTTGTACTTGTGTTTTGATCTGTGGCCACAAATACAGTATTATTATTATTACTCTTCTCCTTTGCTTTATTTTGGTGTATTTTTTTTGTTCACTAATAAAAGACTGTCCTTTCTAGATGCATAAAAAGGAATGCAAACTTTCTGGCAGTACAGGAAGACATTAATCTCTACCCGAATTACCAGGCTGCAGGGGAAAGGGATAGTTGAAAGGCCATAGTTATCTGGAGACTGCTGTTAGGATAGGTGAGGAGGTTTAGCAGAAGCATCAACACAAATGACAAAAGTGTTTCTCAGAATGATTTGTTAGCAGTAGTAATTCCATAACATGGATGCATGATTTTCTAAACATGAGTGCTACATCTAAAGTAGAAACAAAAGAGACCAGAAGGATATAACAGGTATGTTTTTGCACACCATTAATTTTACATGTTATTTCTAATCAAAGTTGCTGAGAGTGCATACAGTTGGCCATTCTGTAGAAAGCTCTGGTCTGTCAAAAATAAATGCTCCTGTTTTATAGCAGCAAACAAATGCTTAGCTATAGTTTTTGAACCACGTGAAACTTCTATGAAAAAGAATTATGTAATATAAAATTGAAGAAAGATGGAATAGGGCTAAGGAAATTCATTTTGTACTTTATTTTTGAAGGCCTGGCTAGAGCAAAATCTGTTCCTACGAAGACATATTCAAATGAAGTTGTCACATTGTGGTATAGGCCTCCAGATGTTCTCCTTGGATCTTCTGAATATTCCACACAAATCGATATGTGGTGAGTCTCAAATATTAATCTGCTTGTTTTCATTCAAATTAAACATACCTGCCTATTTTTTCCTTTAACTTTAAAACCTTTGTTAATAATAAGCAGTAATGCTGGAGATGGTTCTCTAGTCCACACTTGAAATTTTGGGGAAAGAAGAAGGAAGCAAGCAAAGAAAATATTGCTTACTTGTAAAATCTCAAAATTTAGTTGATTTGAATCCCTGAACTTTAAATATCTTCATATGTAAAATCTCAATAGTGAGACTGGACAAATGTATTTCAAGTGAATACAAATCTTGTTCATTATTTTTCACAACCAAAGAAAAAGCAATAATGTACTATTGGGATACTAACTCACTGGCAGTTACATGATCTCATTACCTTAATGATTAGGTTAAGTAGGCCATCTCACCTGTTATTAAAATTATATATTTAAATGCTTTCATCTCCGTTGTAATACTTATTTGAGTTTTTTCTCTCTTAAAGGGGAGTTGGATGTATATTTTTTGAAATGGCATCAGGAAGACCTCTCTTTCCTGGGTCAACAGTTGAAGATGAATTGCACTTAATTTTCAGACTTCTAGGTAAATATGTTTCGCTTAAAGCTGTGAGTTTATTTTGCTCTTATTAAGAGAACTTCTGAAAACTTCAGACTTCCAGTGTAATTGCAATGTTTATATGTTCATAAAGAGGGGATATGATTTTGATATTTTAAGTCTGTACTTTTGTTAAAATCAGTTATTTTGGAAGCTGTTATTTAAATTTTTACTTTATTTCTTTTAATGTCTACATGGGATTAGTACCCCTTATGTTGATTTGTTTAATCTTTCAACTCAGGAACTCCTTCACAAGAAACATGGCCAGGCATTACTTCCAGTGATGAGTTTAGAAATTACAACTTTCCCAAATACAAGCAACAACCTTTGATCAACCACGCTCCAAGGTATTTAAAATTCAAATTGCACGTATATCATAAGTACTTTCTCTGAAAAAAAAAAACCTTCACTAGGAACTCTTTTTGTTGAGGGATTAATTCTAAATGGATTATTCTCATTTTTAGTAGATATTTGTCCAGTGAGCTTTCGTACCTTTGCATAAAGAATAGTAGAATAATTGAATGTGTATAATAGCTGCTATTTGTATATTACTATTGCAGTGGCTCAGGGGCTAAGACACTGAGCTTGTTGATCAGAAAGGTCGGCGGTTCGGACCCCTAGCACTGCGTAACGGAGTAGGCCCCCGTTACTTGTCCCAGCTTCTGCCAACCTAGCAGTTCTAAAGCATGTAAAAATGCAAGTAGAAAAATAGGGACCACTTTGATGGAAAGGTAACAGCATTCTGTGCGCCTTCAGCACTTAGTCATGCCGGCCACATGACCACAGAGATGTCTTTGGACAGCGCTGGCCCTTCAGCTTGGTAACGGAGATGACCACCACCCCCTAGAGCTGGAAACAACTACACATATGTGCAAGGGGAACCTTTACCTTTTTAATAGCTGCTAATCATGTGAATTAATAGTTTTTATAAATAGGGCATCAACTACAAAAGTGAACATTGATTCCAGGAATCTTACATTGTTGAAGTTCTAAATTTTAACTATAACTATACATAGATTTGTTGAATAGCATATTGTAATAGTTTGTTTTGTTTTATTAAAAACGTGTTGTGGCAATCCAGTTTTAAATAATTAGGCACTCCAACATATTGTATTGCCTTCCTTGAAATAGTCTTCAGTTTTGTTCAAGAGAGTTGGGAAAACTTCTAGAGAATATTTAGCAATCACAAAAGAAAAAAGCTAAAGATGTTGGTAGTGCATAAGTGGAAGTCCCCTTCTGTGATACTCAGTTTATCCTAAAGATCAAATAAAGGCTAAAGACAGCCGCTGTATAATAAAGAAATCTCAAGCCAGTGACTCTCAGCAAGTAATGTTAATCTGTAATTTATTTGAAAACCCATATTCCAGGGTTTAATTAATTTTGTTTAGGCATCTGTTTGCTACACATTTTCCTTTACACTATTTGAATTAGATTAGGCAATTATTGTCCAGTTCATGTGGACTTACATTCATTTAGTGATTTAAAACTTTTGCATTTTCAAAATAAATTACTTTTCTTTGGTGGTAAGCATGTGTAATACATTCTTATATATTTTCAATGCCAGTTCCATGATACTTCAGTTTATTTAAAAGTATTGCTTTTTATTTTTATATTAAATACAATGAAATAATATTATTAATACAATACATTTAGTAATAACAGTAAACATATCACCTTATTAGTGTTAAGTAGAATCCATAATTACATTCAAGATGTTTTGAAATTGGAAGTGTTTCTTATGCAAAAGCACACACATTATTTAAATTATTATAATTCAATCTGGAAAGTGTGAGTAAAGAGTGAATATATGGTTTATTTCTAGGCTGGATTCAGAAGGGATTGAACTGATAGTAAAATTTCTTCAAGTAAGTTGTTTTTTGTATTCTTTACACATGTAGTTTCAATGTGTACTCTTCAAGTTCTTTATTTGATAGATTATAATAATACAAAACTGGTTCAAAAAAGAGCATTATTTAGATGTTGCTCTTGCAGCTTTTTTTGTTTATTGTAAAGATCTCTTCCTTCAATCAAATATTTCTTCCTTCAGTTGATAATTTCATATAGTAAAACCCTGAAAAAGTACATAAATGATGAATTCCTTAAAAAATGTTGAAAGTCAACAGAAAAAATAATTTTGCACGTGCTCATATACAAATAAAGGCAAGAAAGCATACTACAGTTTTTGTCTGAATTTATATATGGAACCTTACTATTTTGGGCTGCACTCATCCAGTGTGCTATGCCAAAAGTGTTAAATAATAGGTCTTTGAATGAGATATACTAAACCGAAAATCTAACAAACAATGCGTCTTAGTGTATTTGTACCCACGGGCCATGGAGTCAGTCCATTAATTTCTTTGTTTCACTTTGTTCATTTCTGATATTCCCAAGAAGTGCCCACTTCCACTTCCCTTAGTGTCCACTAGCTTCCTGACCCACTTGAGCTTTTTACCACTTTAAACGCTTAGTTTCATTAAAAAGAATGGGAAGTGGTAATGTTGCATCTCTAAAATTTTATTTCCACTATTACTTCTGACCCCTAAAAAATGTCCAATACATCTTTATTAAATTTTAAATGTGCTTCCCAGGCTGAAAAGTTGGAGGCTTTCACTTACCTTTACTGATAGCAGTTCCCTAGATTTTATCCCAGTCATTTTGCCTGAATTCTTCTGTAGCTACAGGTACTAAAGACCAAACCAAACATTGGGATTTGAAGTTAATAAAACCTATCCTGCATCAATTGTGTTTTAAAATAGTATCTATCCTTTTGTTTGCCAGTATGAATCAAAGAAAAGAATATCAGCAGAAGAGGCTATGAAACATGCATATTTCAGAAGTCTTGGAACTAGAATACATATTTTACCAGAAAGTAAGTTGCCTTTGATATGAGCTGGGCATCTGATTATGAGGTTTACTCTACTTGCTCAAAAAATTAAGAACCTTTCTAAATATTACATTGACTCAAAAGTATCCACATGAGTTAGGTTGTGTTTAAACCAACAGTTATTAACCTTGTATCTTTCATCTGAAAGACCTTTATTGATACCCAATATCAGGTTCAAATCAAATTTAGACAGGCTTTTAGCTCTTCCTGCTTTTGTTCAGCTGTGATTGGAAGCAGAGATGAAAAGCAAGAAAGAAAAATACTATTTTCTTTTTTCTTTGCTGCAGTTCCTGTAAATCCTTCAGGATTATTCAGATTGGCGCATTCTATAAATATTGTTTGATAAAGTTTTCTTCTGATTCTAAATATATTTTTGAAAGTGAGACACTTATTTGGGGGAAAAAGTCACTACATGTGTTGTTTCAGGTGTATCAATATTCACTTTGAAAGAAATTCAACTCCAAAAAGATCCAGGCTTTCGAAATTCCACTTATCCAGAGACAGGTATGTAAAGTAATATTTGCATTTCTTTCTCAGGATTGCATGAGGTAGAACAATTAAAACCTATTAAATAGTTAGAATTCCATGGATTCCTCAAATGAGGTTTTCTTTAAAGCGGTATGCAAAATCTGGATTTTTTTTCTTTATAATCTTGTGGATCATGGAAAAAAAGCACTATTAAGTAGCTTGGCACTGTTGCGTCATATACTGATGTATTGAGGTACATTCTGTGAATGGTTGGAGCCATTCCTTATACTAAGTTTTGATTTGTTTAAATGCAGGTTGTTAAGCCATAATGATTCACAAATACTATTAAGCCATATATGGTAAATTTCCAAACCAAATTGGCTGAATTCAAACATCATGCTAAGCCAGAACCAAACTACTGTAACTTAGCACAATGTGTGACTAAGCATAGATTTGCTCATTTGCATCCCACCTTTATTATTTTTACAAATAACTCAAGGTGGTGGACATATCCAATGTACTTTCCTCCACCTATTTGCCCCACAACATTCCGAGTGAAATGAGTTGGGCTAAGAGAGAAAGAGACTGGCCCAAGGTCACCCAGCTGACTTTAATGGCTAAGGCAGGGCTAAGGCACCATATTCATGGTGTCCCAGTTTTTAGCCTGGACCAAATTCAGTTTCTCCATGAGATGATTGCTTTAAATATAATGCTCCTTTCTAAATCTGTATGATATGTATCAGTATGTATACTGAAACGTCACCTTAATCTCTTAACAAAATACATGTTTTATGTTCTAGGACATGGGAAGAACAGAAGACAAAGCATGCTTTTCTGAGGCAGGCTGTGCTATTTCAAACCAAGGCTGGTTTTACTTCCATCAAGGACTTTAGTCTAAAGGCAATTCTTCCCTTGGTGGACTTGAAATCTGTTTGTCTACACTGTCTTCCTCACAGTGCCGTCTTTTTATTTTGGACCTACTGGTTATTTTTTTTAAATATATATATATGTAAATATATATATATATTTGTTGTCACAATGTGACAATTTTTTGTACAGTCAATTTTAAGGTCTTCTCCATTAGATCCAGTAGGTTATAACTGTTAATGTAACAGTAGCTGCAATTTTTATGCAGGACTGAGAAACACAGTGCATTATTTATTGTGTAATCATTGCTGCTAAATAACTACTGTCTGTATAGTTAAGAACCGAATGCCTGAAAGAGTTGCAATGGGTTTACTGTATATGCTATGTGAATGCCTTGTTTCTCTTCTCTTCTCTTCATTGCTGCAGCTTTATATCTTGTTTTTTCTTTAACTGCAATGTTTCCTGGAATGTAAACACAGCTTTCTTGACAAAAGATACTATTTACTTTAACACTCTCTTGTTCTTGGCCTGTAAATTTCTGATTTAACATTAGATGTAAAGTACTTAGAATGCTACCAAATATCTTTTTAAAGCACTTAGTAGTACAGATACCAATTCAAACAAATGAAAAATTATATGGATCAGGTTCCAGATCTCTTATTTTGGCTTATATCAGAAATGATAAACCACTTATATGTGACACTTAACTATTATCTCTCTTCTCTAACTTTTTCTAATAGACGTACTTGTTAGAATATTTTTGATATTGGTATTTCTTTAAACGTTCCAGTGATTCAAGGCAAATTGTGGGTGCAAAGCATCCCAGCTCATTTCTCTAATTGCCGCCTGCTTTGGTGGCTGTTTTATGACCACGTTCATTGGAAAGCCACTAAAGAATGCAAGTCCACAGTAAAGAATCTGTTACTTTATAATGCAGGCTTCTCGGAATATGAGAACTTGGAGGGTTTTAAAGGTTTTAGATGTTACCTGTTTATTGAAATTAAGTCATCATATTACAGTACTACTAAGCTTATGTATCTCAGTGAGTATCATAAGTACCTCCTGGTATAGGAACAGTATTTTTCAGCATTTGTGTTCACCTTTTGGAACCTCTTTGTTTAGTGCATCTTCCAGAGGCTGTAAATCTTTATTAGTATATTTTGAAATGGTTATGTAAATCTTTGGCTGATATATCATGAAAAATATTCCTAGATAACTTAATTTTTTTTCCTGATGTTCACTGTAAAACATTCAGGGGTCCTATCATTTCTGTTCAGGAAATCTTGTAATTGATTATTGTTATTTAACAGTATTAAGTGAAAGATTTTGTATGTTTCTTTAACTTTATTTGTGAATAGTAATTGTGGCATGTTTTGGAATGTTTTCTTAATGTTTTATTATTATAATAGTAAAATTAATTTGGGAACTCTTTTCTGGAAAAGAAGAGAAATTTATGTGAAATGGTGACTATTGGACCACTGCTGCTTTTCAGCATTTGTAAACTGGTTTTACACTTAATGAAGCCCAGTAGAGCTAACCAACTGCTGTTTATTTCTAACAGATGGACCTGTATTAATGTTGTACTTTTGAAAGTATAAATATTATATGGAAATCTTCAGTAGTGTTCAGATATTCTGTAGCATCTCACCATGTAGCTTTAAGAAAATTTTGCATTTCTCCTGCCTTCCTGAAATCCTGAATCCCTCACTTTCCTGAAGCTTGCAAAAATCATTGAATTGAAACAAACATTCCTGTCACTTTTCAGGAAAAACAATAAATCATATTTTTTAAAATATGGCTTCCCTTAAAGCTTGAAACTTTCCCACCCTGTATTATGCATTTTTAAACTGCACAGCTAATCCAGTGAAATCTGCACAAAAACTAGTTGGCAGATGTAATTTAGTTTTACTAAAGTAAGATGTATGTTTTCTACATATGGTTGAAATACACTATTGTCCTTGTTTGGAAACAATGTTTAAATCCAACTTTCCAGATTCAGCTAGAAAACAACTGCTTGACAAACCAGTAAGACATTTGTTGAATTGGGCATAGCAGGAACGAGGGAGGAAACAGGATTTTTAAATTCTTGAAGTAACTCAGAAATTACCTTTTATTCAGTAGAGTTGTGGCTATTTCTCTTAATATATTTGAACAAAACATTATTACAGTTTAAGAGATTTGGTCTATTTTGCAATTCTGATACGCGCTTCCATTTTTGGGTGGAACCCTGTATGTTCCCTCTTTGACTCTGCACAAAGGAGGAATTGAGATTCCATTTCTTTACTCTCCTTGCAGTTCACCACCTACCATATGCTGTTTAGAAAAATCCCTTCATTGTCTACAGCATCCATCTCTCTCTCTGAAAAAGGAAACATTGGCAAAAATTTCTTCTACATTCCTCCAGCAAGAGAACTTTGAATCCAGCTCTCAGAATGTAGTGATCTTTTTAATCAGAATTTCTAACACATAGGGGTTAAATGCTAACAAATAGAACAGATAAACTACAAAACAGAAGTTTTTATAGCCAATAGAAAAAGAATTGAAATATTATATATAGTTACCAAATGTTACATTTGTTATTTAAGAATTTGTTGCAGATTTCTAATCTATAAATCTGAGTGTTTTACCAGCTGGACTCAATGTTATTCTCATTAATGCTACTTGAAATGTACGCAATCTTTTCCCCCCCATAAGCATTAAATATCCTCACAACAGCTCTGTGAGGTAGGTTTAAATAAATATCTTTAAGCTATTACAATGTTTACATATGTAAAATGTGAATGAAAATAATTAAAGAACTTCAGGCTTAAATGGTATTTATGTTAGAAATCTAGAATGTTTAATGCTGCATTTTTTTCTGGCATTCTTTAGATATGCTGCACCACAAATCCCAGTAATCCTAGCCAGTAATACAATGCCAGTTGAGAGTTGTACTTGCAGTGATCTGGAGGAAAATCTGACTTAATAGATACTTTATTGGTACCTTTAGTCAACTGTACTTCAAAAGGATTGTATGCGAATATGAATATCTTAATTATCTCACTTGGTAGAGAAGATGTATACAATACATACTATACTAACAGTGGTGCCATTTAAAAGTTTTGTTTAGAAACTTGTGAACAATAAACATTTGGGTGTGTCTTGCAGGAGCAAATCTTATGGATTGGGCAACAGAAGGAGAATCATCGCTTTTATTTATAATTAGATTTTATGTTTCAGAATAAGTTTCATTATTATCAAGAAAAAGAGTTCCAGCTTTTAATGGAATGCAAATAGCTGTGTTTAAACAACACCCACATTAATGCATAACAGTGTTATCTGTGTATCTGTGAATAATTTCTTGACTGAAGCAGTTAGAACTCCACACCATTATCCAGTAAACTTGATTGCTTGGTATACTTTATTTTTACACAGCAAACACATAAAAACATTTGTAACTTTAAAGAGTCAACAGGTAATTCACATTGTATGTGTTTGCCGCAGAAGCTATCTATGAAAATGCAGAAGTGCATTTGCTGCCATGATATTTATCTTTCTATTGTAGTATCTTCAGCATCTCACATTATAAGTATGCAAAAACATAGAACAGGGCTGTCAAACTCGTGGCCCATGGGCCAGATGTGTCACGCACTGGCCATACCCTCACCCGATTTAGCAAAGGGAAAAGTAGTAATAAGTCACATGATGCTGTGACGACATGAGTTTGACACCCGATATAGAGAGAACATTGCTGTTAATTGGTTTGCTAAATATTCAACTAAACAATTAAACCAATCTTTCTTAATCTGGGTCCTTACAATGCCTAAATGTAGTATGCTAGCTAAGAATTATAGAAGCAATGGTCTGACTAATCGCTGGGTACTTGTAGGAAAGACTTACTAAGATTTCATTTTGTAGCAAAATTCCATCCAGTCCAGGACTGACTAAGGCACATGAGATTTAGACAGAGAAGGAGTTAGATACAAGCATTGAAGGGCACTTAGAAAGACATCAGGCATCTATTAGCCACTTACTATCCTTTAATTTGTATTTAAGGAAAGAAATGTGGCTCTGAATATGTAGCTTATTACGGATGTACATTTTCTGGTTTTTACAATATTAAGGTTACAGTATATAACTGATGACCTCATAGTCTCACAACTTCCTGATTATTGGCAGAAAACCTCAGGGTCCTCATTATTACATCATCTGCAAGCTTCTTCTGATATAAATTGTTCTTCAGCTTAAATTTCATCTCACTTCTGCATGTTATTCAACGTAGCCAAATAATAGCGTTCTGCATGTGCTTCAAATGAGAACACAAACCTTTTAATGTTTAAAAAAAAAACTATAAATCAAATGATAAAGTACTCCACTGTTAATGTTACATGTTATCTATCTCTAGGCAAAGTTTAGAACAGTTTTCTTTCATGGTTCCAATGTGCATAAATCAGTAACTTGATCATTTATTTAAAATGACAAAATAATACTGTTCTGTTCTTATGCTTTTCCATCTTTTTAGCATGAAAATTGAAGGATTCCAAATTGTTCCAGCATGCCAATTTTTATTATTTTTTCCTGCCAAAATTAATGAGCTTTAAGATTAGCTTTTGTTGCATAGTCAGAAAAGGTGTATATGCTGGTTTCTTAAAAATTCTGAAGTTATTTTATTAAGCTTAAATTTACAAATGTAAGATTGTTACATTTGCTTCTAAGATATAATAGCTATATACAGATAGTCCTCAACTTATGACTACAATTGAACCAAAAATTTATGTTGCTAAGTGGCAGTTGTTAAGTGGATGGTGCCTTATTTTACAACTTTTTTGCTACAGTTGTTAAATCACTGCAGCTGTTAAGTGAATCATGCAGTCATTAAGTAAATTTAGCTTCTGCATATGATTTTGCTTACCGGAAGCCAGCTTTAAAGGTTACAAATGATGATCACATGATTAGGGGACAGCAATTGTCATAAATACATGCCAAATGCCCAAATTTTGATTTGCTTTGACCATGGGGAGGCCACAATGTCATAAGCATGAAAAACTGTCATAAGTCACTTTTTTCAGTGCCATTGTAACTCACTAAATGAATGGTGGAAAGTTGAGGGCTACCTGTACCCTCCCTGTATTATGCTGTGTAACGGTGTGTTTGAAGTGAATGTAGGCTATATATTTCAGAAGTTAAAGAAAAGGATGTAAGCACTCTTGGATCAGTATGCATAAAAGAACTGGGGTCCAAATATCCCCTAAAAAATCTAACAGGATTCTGTGCATTAGGCAGAACATTTTTGGCAATGAATATGAATATACTCTGTGTGTGTGTGTGTGTGTGTGTGTGTGTGTGTGTGTGTATTTTCTTAAGTTTTTGTGGGTACTTACATGTATGGTATTCAGCTTTGTTCGGGTATTTTCCCATGTCATTATAGTTGTGCTTTTAAAGTTGTAGCAACGTTTTGGCAGAATCTCATCTGCCATCATCAGGCTTCTGTATTGTGTTCGTCTGTGAGTCAGACTTTTACAGTTGTTTCAGTTTTAAATTTGGGGCTAGCCAAGAATGGTTTTTCTTCATCCTGATTGGTTGGGAGTCTTGGTCTGTGTTTATTGGTCTTGGAATTTGCTGTGTTCTGCTTGATTGGTGTTTCTAATATCTTCTGTCTGTTTTGTGGCTTTTTTTGTGTCTTGATTGGCTGGCAA